ATGAAAAAACATTGGATTTAGTTTTGCCAGTATTTCTTCTGGAATCTAAATCATTCACCTTTATAGGTATTCAGATTAGGGATCGTTTAGCCCAGGTAAAATCGGATTTCCAAATGTTTGAAAAGAAGTTTGAAAATTTTGTCACAAGTATTCCAGTTTCTGTTTACCCATTGGGGCTTTGGTTTGAATTGAAAGCCAAAGAAGAACCTCAAATTCGTATCAACGAATTGTATTCAATGGAAGGCGAAAATGAGCTTTACCCAATATTTGAAATAGCCAAGTTAAAAAAAGAAGAAATCATACTCGATATGAAACAATTCGAAACAAAATAGTTTATTATCTAGAAGTTTATAATAATTTTGTTATTCTAAGTTGTAATGATATATAAATCAATAAATGAATTTGTGATTTTAAATTGTAGAGTCGAATGGTAAAAGTTTTTTTTTGGCTATGCAGAATATTTGAGTTCTAATCAAAAGTTGTTTGAAAATGGAATTTTCATACTTTTCTTTTTTCTTAAAATGAGATTATTCATTTGGATTATCAATTAAGTACTCAAGTCTGTACTGTTAATGAATTGAAAGGGAACCTCTTCTTAATTTAAAGATGGTCAATGTGACCGGAAAAGATATCCTCAGCGATTTCCATTATTGATTTCTCAACTTCTGATAAGGCAGCAATAAAACCCTGTGTTTTCAACTCTAGAAAAAAAACACATTGAGATTTGAGATTTTAGTGATTTCCTAGAACCACCGACACCAGTCGTATTTGCAGTGGCAATGATATCATCTTGTGATTGGTTTGACAAGGGATTGGATAGTTTTGTATCTAGAGTCACTGCATTAGAAGCAGGGCAGAATACGTTCAATAAGTTTTCATCCAAATCACTTAGTGAAACTGTATCCATCATTCCCAAAGTGCAACAGATAAAAGTTGCAATATTTGATTTTCTTAGAGCAGTTTCAATGATGTCTTCTTCACCTCTTAAAATCGAGGATGCGACATTTCCAGGCTTCCAAAATCTGGGCAAGACATTATGAACAGTTAAAAAGGGATTTTTTTGAAAGTAAATTGTTTTAATTAAATCAAACAAGCGAGATAAATCAAAAAAATGTTGCACCTAAGGGTGTAGTCTCCATTTTAAAAACGGTTTCCAAAAGCTTAAAAAAGGAAGTCGAAATGATTAGATAAAGAATTTGAGTTGATAAATTATCTAGAATTGAAATTGTATAAATGTTTAATTGCAAATTAGGATTAAAAAACAAATCATTAAAAAAATCTAATAAACCTCCCTCCCCATCTATATCTTCGTGATGATATCTTCGTGATGATATCTTAGCCACTCGTCCCATGTTCTATTATTACTTCTAAAGATCTGATGTTTTAAATTATATTTAAGTACGTGAATTAAATTGTTAAGTAATGGTTCAATCTCAATTTGGGTTGATTGGGGACATGGAAGTACTTCATATAGTTTATCAATAATTTTGTTATATCTATATGTTGAAGACAATGAAGTTTGGAAGCTTACCGCCGAGGATGATGTATTTTGATTGACAGTTGGATCCAAAGCATTGATTGGTGCTTCTAGTTCTGTGGAAGAGAATTCAGTGTCATTTAAATCAGTAACCACTTTTGGTGGAGCGATGTTTTGAGGATTTGGTAGCAGCAAGAATAGAGAAATATTAGGGTGAGAGGTGTCTTTTTGTAAGTTGTAGTCGATGTTTTCTTCGTCTTTGATTGCTGGCTCTAACCTGATAAAGTCAATAATTGTAGCCTCAAAACTAACCTCAAAACCAACCTCAAAATTGATCTTGAGATTGAATTCATCTCATCCTCATCTCATCTCCAGCTCCAGTTACATCTTTCTCAGCTAGCTTCTGTTTACTCCATACATTTTTTTTTCTTTCTTCAGATCTCCTATTTATACGCTGCTCCATTTTGGGTGTTTAACAAAAAGCTTACTCTCTTTTTCCTGCTTGTTCTTGTATATTCTTCTTTCTGGGCCTATAAAATGTCTTTCACCTCCTCTTTGTATGTGTTTTTGTTTGATCTCTCTTCTTCTGCTTTTTGCTCTTTTACTAATACTCCATTCCTATTCGTATTCCACTCATTCTCATCTCCTTTGCAAGAACTCTTAATATCCCCTTTCAATTGCAAAATCAAGCTTCCATAGCTTTAAAAACGTTATCTGTGGATCCAATCTTAAGACCTGATGACGCGAAAGTATCTTATCTGATTTCTTACATTAGCAACTGTCATTATCTACATATAGATTTATACGCCATATCTGACAGAGTTCTTCGAGTACTAGCAAATAACATCATCGCATCTTTGAAAACAATCGTTGAATGCTTCGATGAATTTTAACGATTCGAATTTGATCTTGATCATCAGAATATATATATTGCATACCTAATCAAATATATATATTCATATATTTCCTAATCACAAAATACATTAGGCAATTGCACTGCTATTATAAATGGCTACATACTGAATAGTCTAATAAATTTCCATCAAACTATCTTCACAAATCGCTACACTGTAAAGATTTGTCAAATTCTGAAGTCAGGTCGCATCTCATTTTGTATCGCATCAAATGCCCATCACCGAAGTTATTTCCCCATCTATAATGCAACCAATAATCTTAATCAACACAGTGACTTTCCATATTAGTTTTCTCTAAATTGTAAAATAGCCATTTACTTTGATACGCATTCATTCCTAATGATCTGGTTCGCAATCTCAAATTTCGATCATCAGATATCAATATATTAAATTTAAATGTACTAATATCATGCACAGAAAAAAATCTATCGTCTTCATCTTTAGAACTTTTGTTGCTCAATCTATTTTCAGCTTCAATACTGTGCGTTACATCTTTCTCTTTAATATGTTGATAATTTCCATTCTTATCAATATAATTATAGTATTCTTCTTCAGTATCTGAATCCACTTTAAATACAACTCCTCCATTTCCAGTTTCATTGCCATTATTATTATTATTATTATTATTATTATTATTATTATTATTATTATTATTATTGGAGGTAGTACTATTACTATTATTTCCATTGCCTTCGTTTGCAATCTCACTATTACTGTTATTACCTCCAAGTGTTTGACACTTACTAAAATAATAACGCCTTATTATCTCGTTATTTTTTAACAACCCATTCAAAATTAAATCATCAATAGGCTTTGTAAATGAAGTGTAATTGTTCCCACTTAGACTTAGTATGCTTTCAATGTTAGCATCTTGGTTCTCACTTAAGCTTTTGGCTCTAGTTCCATCTACTTTTGATAGATAAAACAATAGTCGCTCGTCAAACTGGTTAAGCCCATTGTTAATACTTTCTTGATTGTCATAGAATCCAGTTTTATTCAAATAAAGTTCATTATCGTTCCATAGGTTTTTAATTGTTATTACACATCTAGTTGCCGAATCTGATAAAAATCCATCCTGTGATTTTCTCAATGATCTTAACTCCTGATAAACAACTAATGGTAAACATATTTTTAACTTTAATTTTCTCTTTTTATGTATTTTTTCTTGTGGTGCATCAATAGTTAATAACTTTATAAATTTATTTCCACCTATCCCGCCTCTACTTAATGTGCAACTTTTAAAAATTTTATAAATTTTTCCACAATTTTTAATCCAACAGTTGGTATCAAAAGTTATAAACGTTATTGCTGTATCAATATCACTAGATATATTTCCTTTAAATCCTGCTATAATTGGCTTCTTCAGCATATTTAGCGTTCTAACTAATGGTGAATTATCATTCGTTAATTTATCCAATCCCACTAAATTGGAATTTATTGAAAAATTATTATTTTCTGAATTAATATTATTTTTATTATTATTGTTATGATCTCTAATATCATTATTATAGCCCAAATAATTGCTCTCAATATCATTGTTATCTGAGTTATTACTTTCAACCTCTGAAATTGCTGTTCCATACTGAGAATGTAGTTCAATATCACTAGAAATCGATGGTGAGTTCTTTATCTGGCTATCATAATTATTTTCGTAAATACTGCCATCAAGTGCTGGTTTAGGATTAAAATTAATATTTGAGTTTTCGCTGGCATCCTCCTTTTGACTCAATTTTAATTGCTCCATATAAAATTCATAATTGCGATCAGACATCAAAAAGACGTCTATATTAAATCCGTAATCATTTTCTGAATTGTAAAAGTTCTTGGAGCTAATATCTTCTTGTAGATGAGTAATTCTGCTGTTTGTAACAAATTCAAAAATTAAAGTGTTTTTTCTTTTAACTTCATCTTCGGTGGCAAGAGGAATATTCACCGATTTTGCTTTAAACGAGGAGGAATTAGCAGTATTAGCTGTTGCAGAAGGGTTTTGCCTATTAGTTACAGTGGAAAAATTGGCAGCTTGTCTATCATAAGTAAACCTTCTGTGGTTTAATTTTAATCCAAAATTAGGAAACTTTTCCTCAATATAAAATGCCAACAAAATTATTCTTAAAATTCTTTCTTTTTCTAGCTTATTAAATTGGGTTTTATTTCGAAAATCAGTTATTTCTTCTTTCTCAATTTCAATAAATTTATTATTGGAAATATTATGTTTATCCACTCTATTGTTATTAATATAATTTAGCATTATTTGCAATTTGTCTAGAGCGCTTGAAATTTTGTTATTAGTTCTATCTCCAGACTCATCTTCGCTGAACAAATTTTTAAAATAATTATAGTTTGTGTTATTTGTTCTTTGGACGTTTTCTCTGTATTTAGTTGAATTGGGGTTGGAATTGTATTCGAAAATTTTGACATTACCTTGATATAATTTTTCGCCATCCATTGAGAAATCTGATAAAATATCTTTACCTTTCCAGCCAGCTAATTCCAAATTTAAGTAATTTTGTTTCTCATCAATGAAATTGTACCATAAAGAACCCCAACATTTCCAAACTTCAATTAAGCTTTCATTTTGATTAAAATGATCTAAATAACCATCAAACCCCATTTTATAAAATGATTTAATTTTATTGATTAAATTTTCAGAGACTAGTAATCTTTTTTCTTCCTTATTTAAGTTGAGATTAATGATATCATCAGTTAAATTATTTTCTGATTTCAATAGGTCGTTTAATTTGAAACCAAGTGATAAAATATCCAAGTCAAAATTGTCTCTGGCTTCACTAACCCAATAATTCAAATAATTTATTAAACTATTCCAGGGAAAGAATCTTTTTAATATGATGCCCAATAAAACCGGTTCAGCTTTTGGGTACTTTTCTAGAGCCTTGCCAATTGAGATTAGAAAGTAGAGCCAGACAATTACATGAGGAGTTGATACAGATTTATAAGGACCATTGAAGAATTTTTTTAGCATTGAGAAAGATAATTCGATAGAAGATTTGTTAATAAACTGTAGGGATTCATACCATTTTAGATCTGATAATTGAGAGGCTATGGGATAAGTATCGTCCTGCAAAGATTTGGAAGTGTTTTGTTGGGAATCGTTTTGATTTTGGGATACAGAAGAGTTTCTACTTTGAGGAGGAATATTATCATTTTCGGATTGATTTTGGTTTTGTTGCTGTTGTTGCTGTTGTTGTTGTTGTTGCTGCTGCTGCAATAGTTTTCTGTTTTTTTTATTATCCTTTCTTTCTTTTCTTTCTTTAAGCGCGATTGGCAATTCAAATAAAATACTAAATAGAGATTTGAAATTCAAAACGCCAAAGCCTACAATTTGCCAGATGTTGATCAAAGCTAGATTGCCACTTTTATTAAACCAAAAATTTAACAATTCGTGAGACGGGTTCGTGATCAAGATAGAGCTTGAATTTCCGACATTTCTATCAAAAAAAGATATTTTTGTTGTTATTAAAGAAGAGTTATTTTGCTGATTATTGTTAGGACTTAAAGAGTTTTGAGTGTTGTTTATGTTGGTAAGGGGGACATTTGAGTTTGTGGGAGAGGTGTTTGTTGAAGAGTTGTAGTATAAATTTTGTTGTTGTTGTTGAGAAGTTATTGGAGCAAGATCTATGCAACCGAAGTTCAAGGCAAAGGTGGAGACAATATTCACCAAGTTATCATTTGAGTCGAAATTATTAACGAGTAGGATTTTATTGATTTTGATGTAGTCTAGAATTATGAGCTCCCAATTTATGATATCGTTTGAGTTATTCATAGTAGTGATGTTGTTGTTTAGCAAAGAAGAAGCGTAGGAGTAGTCATTGAAATTGTTTGAGCTTGTTGAGTTATTTGGGATTAGATTTGGCAAGCCATAGTTATTTAATTGAGCAGAGGTGGTGTTGGTGGTTGTGGTGTTGGGAGGGATATTGCTTGAGTTGTTGATTGGAATAGAAATTTTGCATTGGTTGAAAATATTGTCTAAGACCATTCTTAGATATTGGCCAGTGGGGACAAAACAGTCTTTAACAAAAACGGATTTTCCAAGATTGACCAAGCTTTCGAGGTTTAAGTTTAGGTTTTTGTTGTTATAGTTATAGTTTGAAGGGTCGAATTGAAAAGGCAGATTGTTCTGGTTCAAGTTGTTCAAGTTGTTCAAGTTGTTTAGGTTGTTTAGGTTGTTTAGATTTGTGATTGTATTTATGTTTTGTATATTTTGCAGAGGGTTGTTTGGGTTGATTGAGGTGAGATTATTGGGGTTATTGGATGTTGAGGTTGAAGAAGAGTTGTTGTAGTTTGTTGGTTGTTGGACGGTGGCTAGATGGTAGTAGATTTTGCCATGGCCGTAGGATCTTGAGATTGTTTTCAAGTACCAATATTCAGAGGAAATTCTCCATTCAATGTAGGAAGAGGGAAATAAGGCTATGGACATTCTGGACAAATCAGCGATTTTTTCGTACCACCAATTTTGGAAATCAGAGATGAGGTTGAGGGTTTGGTTGTTGATATCGGGAGGATTGATATCTAGCTGGTTGAAGGAAGAGGGCAAATTTGGATTTGAGGAAGAGATGTTGTTAAGGTAGTAGTAGTAGTTGTTGAATTTTTTGATTAGATGGTTGTTGTATATGTCAATTGATTTGATTTTAGAGTTTGTAGAAAAGTAGTTTGATAGTTCTAGAGACAAGTTATTGTTTAGTTCTACAAGGATTGAAAGCAAGGAAAAGCAGTAGGTGATAAAATTGGCACAGATTTCAGTCTCTGACTCGTTATTTAAAGGGGGGATTTGACTGGCGTTATTGTTTGAAGAGATGTTTTCTGAAATATTGAGAGATAGAGGGTTTGAAACGGCATAGAGGTTGTTTGAAGAGACGTTGTTTGAAGCAGCGGCATCGTTGTTGTTATTGTTGTTGTTATTGTTGTTGTTATTGTTGTTGGTGGTGGTGTTGGTGGTGGTGTTGATGTTGTTTGAGTTCAAGTAAGGCAAACTGAAGATATTTTTGATGATTTCTAGGAAATTGATGATGCCGTAAATCCACAACCTTCTGGAGATTTTGTAGATATGCAATAGCTGGTAGCCGTAGTTGACGGCCAAGATGTTTTTGACATTTTCAAACTGGGTGTCGTTGTTAGCAGCAGTGTTGGAGTTGGAGTTGGAGTTGGAGCTGTCAGCGGGAGGGTTTGTGCTGGAGTTGAGGAAGTCAGACTGAAGAGAGAGGGAAGAGGAGTTGCCACGAAGACAGTACTTGATGAAGTCGTAGTAGGCCTCCAATAGCTTGAGGTTGTAGTGGTAAGTTATGGACAAGTTGGAGCGGATTGAGTCGTTGAGGTCTGCAATTGAGGTGTTAGCGACGCGAGGCAGGTCAGAAGAAGGATCGGGAGGATGGGAGGAGAGGGAGGAAGCAGAGAAGTAGCTGGTGATTTGCAGGTTGATGAGCTGGTTCAAGTCGTGGTTCTTCTTCTCGAGGTCGAGGATCTTCTGGTAGGACAGCTGGAGGTTGTCGGCGAGATAGCCGTTGAAGGGGAAGGAGGAGGGAGAGGCGTCCATTGAGAACAGCGGCAGCGGCAGGACAAGAAGCACACGCAGCTCTTCTCAGCTGCTGGCTCCTTTATATCCTCCCAGGTGGTACCCGCCCTGCACGTGCGCGCAAATTTTCAGCGGCGAGTGCTGCGTGTGCGTCGTGCTTCCCAGCGTCTTTTCAGCGTCTTCTTCTCCAGCTCCAGCACTACCTCCAGCAGCACCTTCATCAGCACCTTTCCAGCACCTCCCCCTATATACTGTTAGAATAGCCTTCCCTATCTAGTTATATACCATATATCTGTTCTAATACACATCCCAATCTTTTTCTCCCAAAATGCCAATTGATGACTTTGATGACGACTTCCTAGATATCTACGACCACGACGACGACCACGACCTGCCCCAGAAGTCGCCTCTGGAACCAGTCCCAGCACCTGCTCCTTCTGCTCCCGATCCTGCTTCTTCTCTCCCTCCCTCTGACCCCACCCCCAACACTGCTTCCTCCTCCCACGACACCATCCCCATCCCTCCCTCTGCCTCTTACTCTGATCAACCCAACCTTTCCTCTGCCGCCGCTACTGACATCCCATCCCACTCCCAAATCAACATCAACGACTCTATCATCTCCAACGACCACCTCGCCTCCCTCCAAAATAACTCAATCTTGAGTAATCTACTATCAATCAACGACAACAACAAAAACCCCAACTCCAATTCCAACTCCAACTCCAATTCCAACACTACTCCCACACCCACTCCTACTCCTTCTGCTAATAATACTAATGCTAACATAAACTCCAATGACCCTAATGCAAACCTCAGTGCTGCAAGTCAGGCTCAAATGGCAGAGATTCACAGCTCAAATGTCTTCAATAAAGACCAAGGTAAAATGTTCATTGGCGGCTTGAATTGGGAGACTGACGAACACAAATTGAAATCCTACTTTTCTCAGTTTGGCGAGGTTATCGACTACACAATTATGAGAGACACCACTTCTGGTAGATCCAGAGGCTTCGGCTTCTTGACCTTTAAAGAATCAAGATCCGTTGACAAAGTCCTAAAAAATCAACACATCTTAGATGGCAAGGTTATTGACCCCAAAAGAGCCATTCCCAGAGAAGAACAAGACAAAACTGGTAAAATCTTTGTTGGTGGTATTGCCCCAGAAGTCACTCAACAAGAATTCGACATCTTCTTCTCTCAATTTGGTAACGTAATCGACGCCCAGCTAATGATCGATAAAGACACAAGAAGGTCCAGGGGCTTTGGTTTCGTAACCTACGACTCCCCAAATGCCGTCGACAAAGTTTGCCAAAATAAATTCCTCAATCTAAAAGGCAGAAACATGGAAATCAAAAGAGCTGAACCCAGAGGTGGCAAAGATGCCTCCCTAAGAGGATACAACGCCAACACTGCTTTAACACTACAACAACAGTCCCTACAACAAAACCAATTCAATCAATACTCCCAATATAACCAACCCGCTCAATCCATCCAATCTCAATCAAATCAGCCTTTAAATCAATCTCAACAGCAAATTCAGACCCAGATTCAAGCTTTTCAACAACAGAACCCTCAGTTCAACAACATTTTTAACCAAGAAAGTACCTACGGCATGACTCCCGAAATGGTTCAAGAATACTACCAAAGAATACAATACTGGATGTTACTTCAACAACAACAACTACAATCCTCTTCCAATCCTTCAAATATTCCCAACCAATCATCCTCCCAATCTCAATCTCTAAACCAGTCCTCAAATTCAATCAACAACAGCAACAACAACATTCTAGATCTGTCCAACTCCATAAATTCCCCTAACAATAATATCGGTCAATCTCAGCCAATAAGACTCGGTGATAATATCAATAACTCTCCAAACAATAATTCAAAATCAAATATATCCAATTCCTCTTCCAATAATAATCACAGCACTCCAAACAGCTATAGAGAAACAAAAAGAGCCAGAAGCCCTCCTCCCAATGCTCCTAGAGGTCCAAGATCTGGAAGAAGTAGCACAAATCATAGAGGAAGAGGCATTTATGGTAGACGTGGTGGTGGCTTCCATCCATATTCAAGATGAAATTATTAGCGATACAATTGTTGATAATTCTCCGACCTTTTCGCTTTTAATGATAATGATTATATTAAAACTAATTTGTATTTTTAGATTTTTAGGATATCTTTAGTGGGTTTAAGGTTTGCATTCACTTCTTTGGAGTAAAATACACAGCAAAAAAAATATTCTATTAAATAAATTTTTTTTTTTTTTTCTTACAATAATGCAATATTAAATCCCAATATAATTTTACATGATAAAGTTCAAGCTATGTCTAATTTAACAAGAAAACCTCAATCCAAAAGAATATTCAAAAATGATCATGGCTAATCTTTTTTTATTTTTTTGTTTTTTTATTTTATTTTTTTTCTTTAATAGCAAAATTTTAAAACAAATTTATTTATTAAACCCCAACTTACTTGTCATCTGTGTGTATAAATTGAAATGTCTCTTTTGCGTTTGATTTTGCCTTTATTACTAGGATACTTCAATGGTTGTAGAAATTGTAATTATATAAACTTATAGGACAATAAGCAATGACCCAATTTGTTATTACTATCAACTGCACGACATTTACGACATATTTGAAGGGGTTAATTCAACAAAACTAGTTGGAATTGCTCATAAAAAAGTAGAACATGTTCCAAAGTTATTGAACAACGGACTGGAGATCAAAGTTAGGCCTTATTTTCTGTCGAATCGTTGGGCTATTTGAAAGGAATTCAAATGTGTAACAGCAAAATGCTGCAAAGTATATTAATAAAAATATTAGATAGCATTTCTTTTAAATATCCTATTAAACATGCCATGAAGAAAGCTTGAGATAGCTGTGTTTAGAAATACTAAATCTTCACAATAGTTGGACTATCAAACTCAAACTCGCTGTTAATAAACAATTAGATTCTTAATGTGAAGTACTACTAAATTCTCAAGATTGATAACAAACAGTTGTATTTATAACACGTCTAATAGCTTTTCATTTTTTTTTTCATTTTCATTTTCTTTTTCTTGTTTTTACTTTATTGAAATCTGATTTCTGTTATGATTTTAAAATTTAAATCAAAAGTTTTCAATTCACTGTCATTGAGCGAAGTGGAGAATATCTTTTTTCAAGCTTGCGACGAAGCCATTTTAACATTAGCACCAATAGAAAAGGATCAATTGAGAGAAATGTATCAAGTAAATCAAAACAGTTTCAACAAACATAAGACCAATAACCCTAACCAAGAACGAATTAAAAACCCATTAATTAATGGGAACATTACAATTAACAATCTTGATATCTACCGACCCTTACAACATGAAGAAGAACAAAATGCAATGAAATTAGCTAGAAAAGCAGGTAACATTGGAATGATTAATGGTAGGGATTCTACAAAGGATATTCTTTTATTATTGAATTCTAATTTCAAAAAAAGCTTTGGAGTTATTTATCACAATTTATTTCCTCAACCTGAGATGTTGAAAAATTTCCAAACAGAAGAAATAATAATTGTTGTATTCAAAGAGTTCTTAAGATTGAAGTACTTTAACCCCACAGCACTAAATTTAACGTATAATGGCAATTCATCAAAATTTTCTAGTGATGCCTTGCATTTCAATTACGATGAAAAAAGAAGCTGGAAACATTTAGTCATATCGTTCACTTACATTCAGATGAAACCTGAAGAGAAAAACGCTATTAAAAAATGGGTTTCTGAAAAACAGCAGATGTATAACAGTGAAAACATTGATCATAAGTATCAAACAAAGGATTTCCCATTGGATTTTTCAGAAGAAGAAGCTAAACTATTTTTGAATTACTATGATACCCCAAGATGGAAAGTAAATTACAAATTCCTTTGTAAAATGATCAATAATTTGATAATGATTAATCAAAAAAGTTCATCAAATACATCAATTAGTGGTGGTGAGTCATTTACTGATTTCGAACGATCTAGCAGAGAAACAGACATGGAGATAAACAAAAGGATTATAAGCCAGCTGAGTATCAAATTCTATCAAAGATAAAGAGTGGATAGTAGATTAATCTCAAAATATTTAAACAATATTATTAGATATAGGTAGATATGGTATATAGCATTTGAAATAAACCCACAATTGTTTATATCTGCTCTCAACGTCCATACAGATCCGGCCAAAAGTAAACAAAACCATTGAACGTGGTTTCCCTGCTTTTCATAGAATACAGCAATATTAGTCAGTGCTGATGTAGCTTATGAAATTTTGAAAATAAGGGATTGCACGTGGGCGTCTTTGTTTTGGATAAGTGGTTGTAGGGTTGCGCCATCCCATTTGTGGCACAAGGATGAGCCACCGTTGTGCTGGATGAACATTGACCAAGCGGAAGATATGGACGATTAGGTTTTGTTGACGATGCCCGCCGGCGTTGCCCAGCGGCTTTTCGTCCAAACCCCAAAGAAGCTGAGAGTGTCCCATTTTGTTACTTTAGATTATGGAAGAACTGGAGAAAGAGTGCACTGTGTAAATCACAAACCAAAACTGTCATATCAAAACGATCTATAATGCGAATATTGATGTATTTGAATCTATGAATGTTTAATTTAACAAAAATTGTAGAATTCTATATTTTTGAACGAAGTAAAAACTGTGTGATATCAAGCCCAAAAAACCCATTTAGTATTTCTTCATTATCCAACTGTGTTATGCTTTTCGCTCTCATACAAAGATCGTAGTTTATGGTTTCACTAACTACTGAGTCCTTTTTATAGTCTTTATGCGTCAAGATAAAGTTTCTGATATAGGATGCAATGGTTGGTATTTCTCCTGATGCACGCTTTTCTATCAACAAAAGATACATGAAAATTCTTTCTTTATTAGCAAGATCTTTTTCCAGTTTAGAGTTCATTTCTTGAGCAAATTCTTCATTTAAAAATCGTTTGACAAACGGGATTAAACCAATGAACGATTTACTTCCATTAACGATTTCATTAACGGAGTACTTTTGTTGTATATGGCTGAAATTTTTATTACCATTTAAAGCATTTCCATTAGTTTTACAAATACCATTCCCATTAGCTTTGAAAATACCATTAGCTTTACAAATTCCATTTCCATTGATAGTGTTCCCATTGGCTTTATGGATACCATTACCATTTGAATCAGTTTCTTTGGTCTTCTGATTGACATAGCCATTCAACAGTTGTTTATTTATATTTTTGCTGCCATTAGTTGTTTCCATTTGATCAAAAGTGAGATTTTCAAAAGTAAGATCTTTGCGAAAGTAGAATTTTTCGTTCAAAGCACTGTTGACATTATGAGCTAATTTCATATTTGCATCAATACTTGATATTGGAATGTAAAAATTTGGTTTGTATTTTAAGATTGCTCTAGCAACTAAGATCATGAATACCGAGTAAGCAGCATTTTCGAAATCTGTGATTTGAATTTCCATAGGTCTAAATTCAACTCTCCAACCTGGGGATTTAGAAAAATCATCTTCAGTTGTGACAGTTGAAGGAGGTTTGAAACGTAAGGTTTGCCAGTTGGTAGATTGGATATTTTCAAAGTGGTCAGTATCAATGGAGTCATCCTGTTTTATCTTTTCAGAAAACAAGCTAATTGGATCTCTTATGAATAAATGAGCAAAGTGACTAGATAATTGGTGATCAAAGCCATTTTGTATTAGATAGTTAAAAGTGGAAGAATCTTTTTCTGAATTTATATCGTTATAGAGAGACTTGAAGTTTGGAGAGCCTCCAAGATACTGGTCAATGGAATCGTATCTTGATTTCTGAATTCTGATTAGATTATTGATTTGCAATCCATTGATACCACCGGATGGTTTGTGATTTGAATCCAATGGATTGACACCTCTTTCAATGGGAGTTCTATCATCGACAGCCATGGAGATGACATTCCATCTCACGTCTTGATTAGACAAAAAGCCTCTAAAAACAGGAGCAGCAGCCGATAAGGAAAGCATTATTGGAGTGAGTGGAGCTAAGGAGTCGTAGAGGTATCTAGACCGAGATAAGTTGGGGGCCTGCATCGTAATTTGAAGACAAGAGCAGCCCATACCAAAGACCATTGCATCCATATATATATGATTAGGTTTGGCAGCACCTAGGAGATGCTCATTATCTTCAAAATATATCAGCCTATTCGTTATTGATTGATCGATTGTGGATGAATTAGTGTGTTGATCAATAAATAAAGGGATGTTTATCGAAACTTTTGAACCTCTTCTGTTCCTGATGTTTTTGGTGAGAGTGGCAAATCTGGGATGACGATTAATTACTTTGTTATTCACAAATAATGATTTGGCGGCATCAGTTGATTTATCCAAGTGATTAGAAGATTGTGGAAAGGTAAAATTGGAACAACCCAACCTTGGGAAAGAAGTTAAAGTTAAAGGATAGACATCTTTATTGGAGTTTTTGTATCCGGGAATGTTTCTGTTATTTAAGAAGTCCAATATAATGTTTCTTCGAGAAATCATGTTCTTCTCAACGTAGAGAAAATCAGAAAAAACAGAGCCGTTGTAGGGATTTCCAGGAGTAGCCTCCAACATAAATCTCCCATATTCGGGATGAAATGAAACATCTAAGCTCTGAGTGGTTTTATCGGAGTTTTGTAGTTCATCGAGAATGTAGTCACTATCAATACTTAATGAAGCATTTCTGTTATTGTAATCTTTATTATCAAAAAAAAGAAGGAAATATTCAACTTCGTCTCCCCATAAAAAAGGGCTGTTATTCCGATTTTGGTTGGATTTAAACATTTGGAGTAATTGGATTCTTCCATGATGGTGAACCAAGGAAGAGTACTTTTGAGATTGCTCAAATGGTAAGGGAGTTCCCTGGGATCTTATTCACAAACCAAGATTAGTATGCTAGAATCAAATAAAAAACGGGGTTTTGAAGATCATCTATCGATACATACAGCAAACCCATCTGTTGAATTCAGTGTGTTTTTTTATGAATTTAATATGAGAAGTATCTCTCGTTGAGAGGAAAATGATACAGGTAGCAAAGAGAATCTGTGAGAAAACAGTTAATCGAAGAGGTAAAAAGAAATTTAACCACAATTTAAAAGAAGATATTACTAATCAAAGGAAGGGCACAAAAATTTTCCAAGGCCTGTATTGCGAGACAAATTGGCTCATTTCCGCTAGGACCTTCTCTTTCGAAGCACAAAAGAGAACCCACAATAAGTAAAAAATGAATTGGAAAAGGTCGATTTTTGACCAATCTCCCGTGACATAGTCTCTTTTTCCTGGCCAATCACAAACAGGAACTGCCATCACTTATGCTTTGTGCTGATAAAGCCCAGCGTCAGTTCTGGAGGGAACAACACACCAAATAGGAAGGGCTTTCCTCCATAACGATGCAGAAATAGGAAAATTTTCAACGGTCCATGCCTTCCTTCCAATCTAGTCCAATTGAATCCAATCGAATCGAACCAAATCTCAAACCATCTACCTCACTACCTACCAGAGAAAGAACCCCCAAACTGTTTACTGCAGAATTATCTGCCTATTATCCAACTCTCCAATATTCATGAAACCAAAAAGAAGAGAATATATCCCAGCCCCAACAGTTGAAGTAGCAAAAGTGAGGATGAAGATGAATGAATCCAGTGAATGAAAGAGTCCAGTGGTTCGGTAAAACGGGGGCAAGAAGTTTTACAGTTAGAAGACCATTAGCAGATAGATCTGAGAAGAGGGCTTTGCGAGAGTTTATGCAGTTTTTTTGGCAGCAGGAAAAGACGCTGTGCTTCTTGAGCTTCTGGTTTTTCCTCACACCACGTATGGACCATCATGGTGAAACCGCCATTGGGGAATCCGGTCGAAAACAGTAGGCCGGAGTACCTATCGGCAATAGCAAGCATTGACACGCAGAGCAAGGGCCTTGGGGTGCAGACCCTGAGGTAGTATTTCTCAGCGCACAGACCTCTACATAAACGACGTTTACCAGACCCCACAATTCCAAATCACGTGTAAGATGGCTGGAATGGGACAGTGGCAGTGGAAAACTGCGCCAACCAGACCGGATCTCTCGGTTTTAAGCCAAAAGCGCAGAAGAAACAAAAGCAGCAAAGAAAGCAGAAGCAGAAGCAGCAGCGGAAGGAAAGAAAAAAAGCGGGTTAGGAAGAGAGAGAAAGCAGAGCAGAAAAACGCGAAGAAACAGAAGCCTGGACGCCACGACTCTGCCGGCGCTTGTGGAGTCAGAGCGTTTGTTTGGGACCAGCAGAGCGGTGTTTACAGCCCAGACCACTCGTTCACGCCATACTCGCGATACTTCCTCTGCTGCTTCTGCTTCTGCTTCTTTTTCTGCTTCTTCTTCTTCTTCCTTTACAACTCTTATATATGGATGATCATTATATAGCTTCACTTATCTCTCTCTTTTCTCACCAACACTTGTCTTTCTACTCCCCTTGCAAAACTCTCACTTCTTTTTTTCACAATGAATTCCACAGATCAAATCAATAACATACATAACATAACCACCATAAATAGCCAAATAAATAGCCAGCCCAATCAACCCAATAATCAATCAAATACTCCTGGCTATAACAATAATCTTATAAATGAAATATTCAGCAGTGTCGACCTACTCAACATCAACAATCAGTCCTTATTGCTCTCAAACAACTCGCTCTACACCAACAATTTTGCCAACTTAACAAATCACCAAGACCAGTTTAATGATCTCAATCAAATCAACCAATTGAACAATCTAAGTGATCTCAATAATCTGAATGGCCTAAACAATCTACACAAATTAAATGACTTAAATGATTTAAATGGTTTAAACGATCTAAATGATTTGTCTAACTTAAACCAATCAAACATTCTAAAAGATAACTACAATGACGATTTTCTTTTCGCTTTGAACAACAAAGACACTGACACTGACACTAATTTTGACAATAATATAAATATTCACTCAAATATCACTACTGACGACGACATTGATGACATCGATGATACTAATAATATTAATGATATCATTGATAACGACGACACCACAAGCATCAAAACTGCCATCTCATTAACTGATCTAATCTTCTACAAAGAAGAATCTGATCCTAAATTTACTGAACTTGAAGACTTTCTATCCTCTCAAAATACTTCCTCCGATACTACTAATCCTAATAACAATATTAATATCACCAACATTACCACTAATCCTAATCCTAATCCTAATTCTAAAGATTTCGGGTTTAACTCAAATTCAACTCTATTTAATCAAAATCAAAACCAATCCTTTGATGAAAATTTATTCAACAACTTGGATAACTTGAACAATTTATCTAATATATCTAATCCAAATAACTTCAACTCTTTAAACAATTTGTCTCTTTCAAATCTTACTTTTGACTACAACCTTGATAATAGTTCAAATCTAACTCTTCATGAAGAAAAAAATGATAACACAAACTATTTGGCATCGAATCTATCTCTAATCAACCCAATCTCTTCCTCTTCATCTACTTCAAATTTAGTTCAATCTAATAATAATAATAATAATAATAATAATAATAATAATAATAATAATAATAATAATAATAATAATAATAATAATAATAATAATAATAATAATAATANTAATAATAATAATAATAATAATAATAATAATAATAATAATAATAATAATAATAATAATAATAATAATAATAATAATAATAATAATAATAATAATAACGTTAATAATAATAATAATAATAATAATAATAACGTTAATAATAATAAAATTAGCTCAAATCTTTTCTTAAATCAAAACAATACTGGGAAATCTTCATTACTTCCTATCGCTTCTTTAACTCCTCTAACCACTGGTAATCAAAACAACTCCTTCAAAAATCAAAACAGTCACAATTTCAATAACGATTTCTTACTCACTTCTCCTGTCATTAATCAATCTCCTTCAATCTCAAATTTTAATCATTTCAGACAAAACTCAATCCAAGATGACTCTCTTTCTAACATATTCAACAAGTCTTCCTTCTATCCAAACTCTCCTATTTTATCCAATAACTTTCTTCAAAACCAATTTAATCAATCCTTATCCAATCTCTCCATCTACTCAAACAAAAATTCTCTAAAAAATAACCAATTAAACCACTTGAACCAAAACAATGATTCCATTCTACATAACAACTTGAATAAAAGTCTCTCCAGTATTGCAAATCCCTCTCAAATTAATATTATCAATCCACAACTTCTATTCAACTCTACAGGTGGAAATTCTATTAAAATCGATCAAAATCAAAATCAAAATCAAAATCTAAATCAAAATCAAAATCAAAATCTAAATCTAAATCAAAATCAAAATCTAAATCAAAACCAAAATCAAAATCAAAATCAAGACCAAGACCAAAATCAAAATAACGACAGCGACTTTGACTACAACTCATCCACTATCTTCAGTGATGACAATGATTTCCTAACTTACCACAACCCTTTCGATAATAACTCAACTCCGATGGCAATCAACGAAAACTTGGTCACTCCTACCTCAAACACTTTCAGCTTCCATCAATCCTCTTTTGATTTCAAATTTCCATCCTCAAATTCAATCAACAACTTGAACTCCTTCACAAACTTATCTAGTCAGACCTCCTTTCTCAATCAATCTTCTTTAAAGTACGAAAACGACTCAGATGACGAAGCTGACGATGAGTTTAAACCAAAGTTCAACAAACTATTCAACAAAATGAAGATTATTCCTGAAAATGAAAATATAACAAATTTTTCCACTTTTTTTACTGCGCCCGAGTCACCAAAAAGTCCCACTTTTAGTCCAAACAAAAATCGTGACAATACTAATAATAAGCACACTAATCGCTCTGAAATTGATACTAACAATAACTCCTTTAACAACCATCCAAATAACCACAATACTAAATTCACGAATACTTCTAACAATAACTTAAAGAATACTTCAAATAAAAATTCAAATTCTATTCCATCAAATAATTCTTTTGCTCCTAATTACAAAGAACTATTTTCAAGTGTGAATTCCGGATCCAAAATCATGAAAACAAGGAAGAAATCAAGATATTCCAATAATAGTCTATCACTATTGCCCATATCTGTTACTACTTCAAACAACAGTAGCAACAGTGGCATCGATAGTAACAGCTTTATTGACATCAGCTCATTAAATAATGGCAAGAGCATCAGTCACAACTCCAATAATTCCAAAGAACTTAACATTTCAAATCAGAGAAGTGATCGTAAAATTAATACTGATGGTTCCTTCGACAAATATTATAATGGTAATAATTCAAAGAGAAAAATCTCAATAAAGGAAAAATTAATAAGAAAGAGTAAAAAAGATAATAACTTCATATCGTCAATTTCTATTCATGATTCAGATACACCATCACTTTCGGTTTCAGGTGCTATTAAACATAAAATATCCAATGCAAATTTAAAAGAAAAATTAATGAAGTCTCCAACAAAGAGATCACTCAAGTCCATCACTAAATCAAGAACAGGTTCGATATCTTCAGGTAACTCATTTAATACCTCCTCAATATTTTCTCATAGTACTTCAGCTTCCAATAATGACAATAGTAGTATCTCATCCGAATCAAACTTAGAAACGGACATGAACATCAACATCAACAAAATGAATATTGACTTGATAAATTCGTCAATGACCTCGTCCAACATAAAGAAGGAGTCTGAAAATATTATAGCTGGTACTAATATTAATGCTATTATTGGTGTTATTACTACTTCTACAAATAATAACAATAACAATAACAATAACAATAACAGTAACAGTAACAATATAAATATGACTGATAATAATAACAATATCTCTGAAGCTACTTATAGCACTACTACTGATTCCGATACTAGCACAATAAGAAATACAAATAACAACTTAAATATTAATTTTGGCATGCATTCAAATTTAAACAAGACCGGTGTTCATTCAAACAAAAACATTATTCCTAATTATTACAGCACTCCTATACCTAAATTGCCCAAGACATTATCCATTAATATTCACAATAAAGATTCAAATGAAGTAACATCGATTAATTTAATGACACCGTTAACTCAGGAGCAAATTGAGCAACAACACTTGATAATTAACCCAGCCTCAAGAAGAGGAAGGAAACCTAGTTTGCAATTCGATCCTACTAAAATTTTTTCTTGTACCTTATGCTCCAGAAAATTCAAAAGACAAGAGCATTTAAAAAGACATTTCAGATCATTACACACTGGAGAAAAACCATTCACTTGTCATAAATGTGGTAAAAAGTTTTCAAGATCTGATAACCTTGGTCAGCATATTAAAACGCATGGATAATCAAAAATTTTATTTAAACCAGGCATCTTTTTGTTGTTTTTTTTTTATCATTTTATTTATTGATTGTTTTGATGAGTTTATTTTTTCATTATTATTTCTTATATTTAGTTTTTTTCTGTTTGTTTTCTTTCAATTTATTCATTTTATATTTTCTCGCTCATTGGTGTTTTTCTCTGCAGCTGTTTTCTTTTTGGGAATCTATTTTACTCTATTTGTTTCGTTTTTCGTTTTTCGTTATTGTTTTTGTTTTCTTCATCAGTTTGTTATTTATTATATTATTATCTCTGATATTTTTGCGACATTTCTTGACAATTTTTGTATTTTTTTTCGTTTTGATGATTTTTACGGTTTTGGAGTCTCAGGAAAAGGAATATATTGTTAATGGTTATTAAATTAGGGCGACGCTGTTTACTTCAGGTCTGTTCCGTTTCTGTAGGGGGTTTCAGTGCTGCCACGCGTGTAATCGCGTTTTGTGCTCACACGGGCTTATTTCTAGAGGTATTTTGTCGAGCGAACCGGAGCTGCAAAAGCAGTCGTGAATCTTGGAGAATTTTTGTTCAGTGGTGGTGCTTCTTCTGCTTCTTGTTCTTCTTCTTTTTTTAATGAAGGTTTATGTTCCCAAGGCGCCTCAGGCGACACTCTCCCCAGTGATAGACTCTCTCCACAGATGGTCTGGTCTTCCTCAAAGGGTCAGTCGTGGTGCTGTTGTCCAACACTATATGGAAAATAGTGATCAAGACGTCAATTACAACAGTCATCTCAAACACAACTTTTTGCTCAAAATGTTAGTCAGTCCTCCACGACTTGATAAAATGTCTTCAGCAGTCATACCAAAGGAGTTGTTGTTGAAGCTCAACTTCTACCAGAAACAACAGCCAGAGTCTGAGTCTGAGTCTGAGATGGAAAATACCTACTGGATTCTTCCTACTAACCATAATGTACAACAATCTGATCAAAAGAATAATCTCGGTAATGGTTTTTATCTTTCCCTAGCATCTTCGTTGATCGATGCTGAAAAAACTCAAAAGAAGATAAAACATGTTTATCCGATGGTCTCAATATACAAAAATAATAAAAGTGGTGATATTTTAAGAAATCGTAATGTCCTTAACAAAAAAAACAATTTTGAAATGAAAACTTTTAATACTAGTATTATTGTAAGATATCACTTGGATCAAATCCTAATTTGCTTAAAGCAGCTATCTTTTTTATTCGTAAATTTCAAAAGTTTTGATGAAATTAATCTTACTCAGCTTTCAGAAAATCATATAATTTTAAAGATTCCAACTGGTTTTGAGCAAGATATAAATCAACTCTTGGATAATAATACACATGTTGGAATTACTCTGTCTCCCTCGAAAAATCTCGCACCATCATTTCAATCTACTGGGCCATCAAAGCCTTTGGTCGTCGATATGGTTGAGATTCTAAATGGGGTTTCTCAACTATATTCCACAAACTCCTCACAAGGATTTTCCAAATTAAAAACTCATAACTACGAAACACTCTCTCAAATAAAAAAGGAACTAGCCACTCTAGTAACTTCCAACAAAAAAGACGAAGACATTTCTAATCTGAAGTCAACATGCATAATCATTCATCAAAATAGTAAAACTAAATCCAATTTGCCCACTTTTTTAACAAATCTATATAGATTGAGTAGCTTTTTGCAAAGTTAAGCTGTTTTATCAAAATTGTGAATTATTTCATTCTTGTTTTGTAAATACTTATAATATATGTATATATCCTTTTCACTAAAAAAATCAAAAAAAAAGAAGATGTGTTAACCGTAAAACACAACTTCTTTGGAATTTTAGTATTCAATATTAAGCATCAAATATAAAACATGAGATTCAAACCATGAAGAAAACAACTAAAAACTATGAATATTTCCCATTCTGTCATTATAGAATAAAAATTCTAATAGAACTATATCTGAAATAAGCGAAAGTAATCATGAAAAACCTGAAACAATCTATCAAAACAACCAAAATCAAAGTCAGTTATGGTTATTAAATATGTTAAGCAAATAAAAAAATGAAAATAAAATGAAAATAAAAAATAAAAATAAAAATGAAAATGAAAATCAAATCACAGTAAACTAACTAACTAACTAAATAAATAAATAAAAAAATCAAATAGATCAAATACCACAGGTAAATAAAATAATAACACAATTACATAAAAACGGAAAAAAAAACAATGAAAAATTAACAAGCGAAATACAAAAACCAAAAATATAAGAATGATTATAATGGAATAATAGAGTCTGGTGTTGGAATTGAAAACAGTAAATTATTATCTGTAGTATCATAATTGAAATTATGATTAACAGAGGTATTCGAAACAGTAACAATATTGAAGTTTTCATTGCCATTTCCACTGCCATTTCCATTGTTATTTCTATTGCCATTTCCATTGCCATTTCGAGTATCGCCGGAATTTATATCATTCTCTTTATCATCTGTTAGCTGTGAAACTGAATTGCTTCTAATAACGTTTGTATGTTGCCCAGCAATTACATTTGGATGAGCAGAATTCAAAATAGGTTGGTTACAAATTTTCCTTTTTTTAAATATAGTAGAAGGCTTTCTTATTCTTCCATCCATTGAGATGGAGTTATTGGGAGGTTTTTTAAGAGTTGGAACAGATGAAATATTAGGCAACATACCGATGCTAGGATTAACCCCATATGGATATAAGTAAGGGTATATTAGTTGAGATGGTTGAGGCTGAAGCTGAGTTTGAAGCTGAGTTTGTGTTTGAGATTGTTGTTGCTGCTGTTGTTGTTGCTGTTGCATCTGTAAATGTACTGCTAATAAATTGGGATTGGATAATAAATAAGGATTTATGCAGTTGACACCAGATAAAAAGGGATTGTTCAACATTGGTGGCAAAATTGTTGAACCTGTTGATTGATCTTGTGGAAGCATTGGAAAGCCAGGAAAATAATTAGGTAACGTAGGAATAAAAGGATCACTGGAAGGTATTGAGCTAGGAAGAGTAGGGGCTAATTGAGATGATGTTTGAATTGACTGGAACAGATCCTCTGAGAAGGAATTGAGAATTTTGGGTTGATGCAGTGGTTGTTGCGTTAGCTGACTAAATGGAGGAAAGCAGGTATTTAAATATTCATCAAGTAAATATTCTTGTTGAGGTTGTGGTGTGTTTGATTGTAAAGACAGAAGCTGTACATTTTGTAGTTGCTGGATTTGTTGCTGCTGTTGAAGCAATAGATCGGAATTAAGAGAATTTATCTGGAAATTTTCAGGGATGAGAAATGGATTGAAATTATTTGGATCAGAGATAGTTGGAGGAAAATAGTCCAATGGAAATGCATCTTCAGCTGGTGGTTGAGATAAATCAGGAGTTTCTGTTAAAAACTGAGAGAAATCAAAATCGTTGTTGTTTTGAGCAGCTTCGTCAATTTGCAATTGAATTTGGTCTAAGAAATCATTATTCAATTCAATATTGTTAGGATCAAAAAAGTTAGGATCGTTAAGAAATTGAGATGATTCATCACTATTGTCCATTTGAGTATTAAATGATTGATCATTGTTGATGATATTGTTGTTGAGAATATTGTTGTTAGGTAAAATTTGATCTTTTGATTTAGAAATTGTAGTGTTTTGATCTTTCTCGTCTTGTAATACACTCAACTTTTGTAGTTGTTCTCTTTCTTTAGCAAAATAGTTTAAAGACCTCTTGTGTTGTTCAATGTAGGCATTGAATTGATCAAACAACGGTTTTGAATCATCATACTTGAAACTTATTGCAGGCTCAAGAATTGCTTTAGAAATTAGTTTTTCATCTTTTTTTTCCCTTTTTAAATCTCTTTCTAATGCATCAGAAAATAATTTATCGTGAGGAACACTGAACCAAAAAAATACCTTTTGTTTCTTTTGAGTTCTGAGGCAATTATTCTTATGTAGAAACTGCAAGAATTCAGACTTTGGTGGTTCTAGGACAGCATCGTTACCACATTTGAGATTTCTTAGATCAGAAAAGATACCTTCTTCGAATTTTTTTCTGTCGATTATATCTCTGCCAAATTGTTTGAATCTGTAGGTGATGCATTTGACAATATCAGTCCCAGTGATAAAGTATAGGTTTTTCCAAAAGACACAAGAAATAAAGCCTTCATCATGATTAAGATAGTATCTTCTTATTATCTGGTGTTCTTGCCAGTTTGCTGGGGCAGTTATTAGAAAGAATTTTAGATCATCAGCCAACCTGATTCTATTTTCAAGTGGATCAGACTTTATTGAACTTTTCAAGGTGGTTGTAGCAGTTGTTGTTGTTGAGCTGGCGTTTGATTTAGAGGCAGAAGAAGAGGAAGCTGAGGTCAGAGACTTTTGGGCTGTGGTGGATGCTGAATTAGAAGCTGAAGCAGAGGAGGTGGAGGTGGAGGTGGAGGCTGTGGTCGCTGATGGCTTTAGAAGAATTTCCTGTGATTCTTTCAGTGATATTGGGCCCATTATTGTGTGGGATTAGAGGAGTAGAAGAATGGGTAGGAATAATGCTGGTGATAGGATGGGAAGAGAGGATTAGAGGGATTGGTAGGTGATGGAGAAAAAAGTGATAAGAAAAGATAAAGGATGGAAAAATAGAAGGCAATGTGTGATTTGACGAATTCGTAGAGATGATAAGTAAAAATTGAGTTTCTATAGGAGCAACAAGTAGATCAGATACCTTGGGATGAATTGAAGTGAGCAGAATGGAATCTAGAGAGCTTATAACTATTGGTGAGTTGTTTTGTCTGGAGCTAATAGCCTCTATGCTGCTTATATTTTGCTGATTTCTGTGTTTCTGCTTGCTTTCTCTGGTGAGACGAAAAGCCTATACTAGGAGCAGGTTGAGCAGCTTAAGAGAAGTGAACTTAAGCTCTGAGAAATAAGAGCTAGAAATACTGCTTCAAACAACAGTCCACACCTTCAAAGGCCAGCGATAGATGCTTTAGAGAGAAGCATAGAGCACCAAGGGCCATTTTGGGGCAAGATAAAAATAAACTGGTGTAAGAGGAAACATGTTGTGCCTTTTTCTGACAAAGATCTGGTGCTTTTGATCCAAGCTGTGAGCAACCTCCAGACACACTCTAGTGCCTGCTGAAAGCTCGCACTAAAGAGCAATTGTTGCTGGATTTGGAGGTGTTTAAAACAGAGCCCAAGCTCGTTGGTCGTGTTGGGTGCTGTTGGTCAACAATAGGCTTCTACAGGAGCGAGTATTTATAACCTTGGAGGCTCCACCAGGGCAGACCAGGGCAGAGAGCTGTAGGGGAGGGAAGAGCATGGAGGATGGAGCAGCTGGAGCAGCTGGAGCAGCTGGCCACTGTTCACTTTATAACTCTTGGTGCCTGATTCTCTGCTCCATCGCCATCTTACGCTTTACGCTTTATGGTTTGTGATCCAGCTCAGGGCCAGATCAAAGTGGTGGGAATAATAAATACAGAAAGACCGAGGCTCTATTTATCGAAGTTTATATACTTGTAAGGATTCAAGATCAACTTGGGGTCGTAGAGCTTCTTCAACTGCTTCATCAAGTTGATTTCAATGTCTGACTTGGAATATCCAATGTAGTTTTTCTTCTGGAACCCTAGCCCATGTTCAGCAGAGATGGACCCATTGTGCTTTTTGATCCACTCGTAGACAAAAGGCTCCAAGCAGCTTTCCACTTCTTTGGAGTATCTTCTAACTGCCACATTCAAGTGTAGATTTCCATCGCCAATATGGCCATATCCAATAGCATCCTTCACAGGAAATTCCTCTGTTTCTCCAATCAAGTTGAAATCGCTCAATCTGACTTTGACGTCTTCAACTAGCCTGTACAAGTCCTGGATGGGAATTGAGACATCGTATTTATAAACACCACCGTATATTGTGCTTGCTTCAGAAACAGATTCTCTCCAATTCCAGAGAGTTTTCAACTGCGTTTCGTCTTGTGCTACTACACCATCGCTGACTATTTCATTTTCCATAGCATATTCCAAAAACGACTCCAATTTGACATCGTCGTGGTCTTTATTTGACCCGGAAGTCTCAATTAGTATGTAAAAGGGATGCTCTTCATCCAATGGATGGCTTTTTTGTTTTAAAAATTCTTTTGATAGTTTTTGAGAATTCAAATCCATAAATTCGAAAGCCGATAAGATTTCACTAAGATAGTTTTTACTTTCGGTAAATGCCTTTTGAACAGCTTCATAAGATTCAACACCCAAAAATGCAACGTTGACAGCCTTTGGTCTGGTTGGACATAGAACTGACACTCCAGTTATAATGCCCAATGTTCCTTCAGAGCCAATAAACAATTGCTTCAAGTCAAAACCAGTGTTATCTTTTCTTAACGAGTTCAATGAGTTCAACACTGTTCCATCAGGCAAAACCACTTCTAATCCCAATACCGACCCATGTAATGATCCATATCTTAATAGTCTTAGACCACCAGCATTTGTAGCAACATTACCACCAATAAAACAAGAACCTTTTGCACCTAAATCCAACGGGAAAATAAACCCATTTTCAGCTAAAAAGGCGTCAGCGTTCTCTAGGATAACACCAGCATCAGCTTTTAAAATACCAGAGACATTATCAAACGATCTAATCTTATTCAAATTCGCCAACGATAAAACAATTTCATCAAACACTGGGTTAGAACCACCAACCAAACCAGTGTTTCCCGACTGAGGAACAACTGGTAGACTGTTTTCATTGCAATACTTCAATATCTTCGACACCTGCTCAGTGGTCTTTGGCTTTAAAACTAAAGAAGACTGACCTTTATATTTTCGTAAATGGTCCTCATTAAAGAAATCCAAATCAGCCGTTAGAACCAAATTGTCGTCATTATCAAGAACTTGTTTAAAATGAACAATATCATCACTTGTAAGTCTTTTAAAGTGCTCGAATCTTTTTAAGCTTGGATAAACTTCTGAAGTTAGTTTGACATCCCCTTTGCTACTATAAAATCGATAGTTTGAAAATTTGGTGAAATTTTTAGTATAAACAGGAAGGGCCTTTTTCGAGCTTAGTAATACCTTGGAAGAGTTTTGTACCAAGTATCTTGGAAGCAACAGTCTCTGGCAAGCTCTTGAAAACATTTTCAACCCAGTGCACTCAAAATCCCTAGAGATAGGTGATGGAGAGAAAAAGAAGAATAGTGAGTTTGCATAACAAAGTCATATATATCGTGGACATCGAATCTTATTTATGAGTAATAACAAAAAAAAAATTCTTATCCAATCGGAGCCGGGTTTATCGTGATCCATGGATAAATGAAGATAATACGCAGAAAAATTGAGAGATGTTGGCAGTAGTGCTCATCTCTTGAATGAAACTGAAACATGCTATTTAGACAAGGTTCCTGCTGTGCTACCATCGTTTACAATCAACCAGAACCTGGGGCAGTTAAAGAACCATTGAGGATGACAGTTAGTTGTAGCCGAGATCACACGAGATGAGATGGGATCACAAGCTTCAGTGCTGCTGTGTTGCGAAACCCAGCTGGAGAAGCAGCTAAATGCTTATCCTATCCAGCAGAAGCTTTCTCTTTGTCATTGTATTTAATGACTAATTGTTTGTAAGAACAACAACAGCAGAAGAAGAAGCATTATAACGGAACCAGCGGCGTGGGTCAAATGAGAAAATGAGGATTGGAATCATTTTGTAATTTTTTCTTGTTTTCTGTGTTTTTTTGATTCTTTTGAATCTGTTTATCTGTTGGGCGTTTTACAAAATGTCGCTAGACCAGTTATTGAATCCACAGTCGAGCTCCAATGAAAAGTTGTCCAATGACGAAATTGAGTTGTATGACAGACAAATTCGATTATGGGGCATGGAAGCTCAGCAGAGAATTCGTTGCACAAAGATTTTGTTGATTAATTTGTCTGGTATTGGGACTGAGATTGTCAAGAATCTAGTGTTATCTGGGATAAACGAGTTGTATTTGTTGGACAATAATGATGTAAAAGAAGAAGATTTAGCTACGCAATTTTTCCTCACTGAAGGTGAAGATGATTTGTTTCGTTTGGATATAATTGGCAGGAAAAAATTGGATGTAGCACTACCACAAATCCAAGAACTAAATCCCAGAGTTAAAATCAAGATTAATACTAGAAAATCAATTTATGATTTTTTAGATGATGGAGTGAGAAATCTAGATAATAAAGATTTTTTCAGGCAATTCAATTTAGTGATTTCAACTCAATTGGATTCGATTTCGAATTTGAAATTGAATAAAATTACCAGATCATTGAACTTACCATTTTACGCTACTAGTTGTCATGGGTTGTTTGGATATTTCTTTTCAGATTTAATCATGTATGACGATTTGAGTAACGCTGATAATAGTCATAATAATCATAAGAGTAATAAAAGTAATAAAAGTAATAAAAGTAATAAAAGTAATAAAAGTGATAATACTCATAATAGTAATAATAGTAACAAGTTGATTTATTATCCATTTCATTCGTTATTGTCAATGAATTGTAATAATTCACCGTTTAAAAATTTAAGAAAAAGACAATTGATTACTAAAAAAAAAAGGATTTTGATATCGGTATTTATATTGACATTGATTAATTATGATTTCAAGTACCCATCAATAAATAAAAATGAGATAAAGATAAATGAGGAGCTATTTGATGAAGAGTTGGGTAAAATGTTTGGGAAACTTGAGTTGTTCTTTGAAGATGAAAATCCCGGGCAAATTCAAGAAGAAACTAGGGAGTTATTGAAAGTTTTTTTAAATAATATCAATTGTGAATTTTCACCAATTTGTGCGATTTTGGGTGGATCGTTAGCGCAGGATATTATTAATATGCTAAGTTTTAAAAACTCGCCGGTGAATAATTTTTTAGTATTGGATGGATTATCGAGTGAAATGCCAATTTACCAAATTATCAAAAAAAAATAAATAATATTTATTTATTTATTTAATTAATTAATTGAACATTTAATTAAGTATTTAGATATATATATACAGGAATAATGATGAGAAAAGTTAAAGTTTTAGTTAAAGTAAAAAGGGAAATTGAAATTGAAATTGAAATTAAAATTGAAATTAAAATGATAAAAAATAGTAAAGATATCCTAAGATTCATGAAAGAAGTATAATGTATAATGTAGACTGCAAATTGTAAAATTGTAAAATATAGGATAGATGTGAGTAGGATTAATTAATTAATTAATAAATAAATAAAGATAATAGTAAGTGGTGAGTGGTGAATGGTGAATGGTGAGTGCTGTATGATAGATTATGGAAAACCTATAGGGAGGGTGGAATGTCATCATCCAATTCTTTTGACTTAACTTCTTTCGATTTGATTATGGTTGAAGACTTTTTGGAATCAGGCAAAGGATCGATTAAATCATCATCTTCATTGATTTGTTCAACTATTTTGACTTCTTCAATATAATATTTTAACATTGACTCAACACCATTTTTTAAAGTGACAGAAGAGGAATCACAAGTTCTGCAGGCACCTTTTAGTTTTAATCTGACTTTGCCAATATCAGAATCAAAGGAGATGAATTCAATGTCGCCACCATCATCCTGAATGGCTGGTCTGATTCTTGTGAAAATAAGTTCTTTTATGATAGAGGTGATTTCGTCGTCATTTTCGTTTATGATAGTATCTGGGTCCTCGAGAGCGTTTTTGTCTATGATGGGTTTTCCATTAGTAAGATACTCAGTAAGGATAGAAAAAATTTCTGGTTTCAAAATGGACCAGTCTGTGGAAGTCTTCTTGGCGATGGTTATGAAGTTGGAGCCAAACATAACAGAAGATATGTCGTCGATGGAGAATAGCTTTTTAGCTAGGGGAGAAGAGTAGGCATCTCTGCCACTGAGATACTCTTTTGTCTGCTCGTCAGGAAGAATTCTGGTAGAGGGAAGAAACTTCAAGGCCTGCTCGTTGGGCGTGGTGGCAGTTTGGATAAAGAGCGACCTGGTGAGAGTGGCAGAGAGTCTAGAGTTGGTGAGGAAAAAGGGTCGTTTGACAAAGTTGAGAGAGAGCATTGTGGGTGGATATCTGGTTGTGAGAATGTATTTGCTCTTCGAGTCCTCGCTGCTCTTTATACTCTTATGCTCTTGATATTCTTTACGTCCCGAGCGCCCTCGAAATGCTCGGATGTGCCGCTAGATCACCACCTCTCCTCGACAAACATCCTCGGTATGCTCTCGGCCGCACGGAGCCCGCCGATGCTGACCTTCCACCGCGCACCCATTGGCCGGACGCTGCGGTGCCGGTACTGCACTAAAAGCGCTTGTATCACGTGCCAGGCACGTCTGTGCAAGTTTTGCCTCGAAGAGGAAAATCGGGCGGGCTGTGATTGGTCGCGTCGGGGAGCCAAAGTGGACGCAGTGAAAAATTTTATATGCTTTTGTATAGATATGGCGCCGGATCAGCTCGGTGGGTGATAAAGTGGATACGATTACTGGCCTGAGCTATATATTGTCTCTCATCCCACTCTTTCCTTTCTGCTTTATCTTTTTGTTTCCTCTGTTCATTGATCCCCTGCGTCCTCTGCTTCCTCTTCCCTGTTTCTCGTCCTTCTGGTTCCCATTGTTCTGCCTCCTCTAGTCTCTTGATGTAATTTTGTCGAGTTCCTCTTTGATACGTACCTCATCGCTCTTCGCTCTTGCCTTTTTGATACCTCTTGATATCGCTCAATTTCTTTGCTTATCAGTTATCTGCCCACCATATTCTCTCTTCTCTCTTAAATAATGTCTACTTTTGCCTCCTCGTCTTCTTCTTCCTCCCTGAACTCCTCTCTGTCCTCCCTTCATTCCTCTGCTTCCTTGCTCTCCAACTCTGTCATGACCACCGCTTCCTCCACCCAAATATCTGAAAGCGATTTCAACACAAACTCCTTTGACGACTTCATTCAAATTCAAAGAGAAAACAACCACAACCAAAGCGATCCACTTGACAACAATCCTTTAATCTCAAATAAAGTTATTATTGGCGGCAGAAAATCAAAATTAGCTGTTATACAGTCTGAACTAATTAAAGGCTCAATCCTCCATCACTTTCCCAACTTGGATATTCAAATCATCGCCCTATCCACTCTCGGCGACAAAATTCAAAACAAGCCTTTATACTCTTTTGGTGGGAAATCCCTATGGACAAAAGAATTGGAAATCCTTTTGCTAACTAATTTAGTCGACAATTCGATTAACCTCGATCTCCCTAGAATCGACCTCATAGTCCACTCCCTAAAGGATATGCCAACTTTCTTGCCTCCTCATTTTGAACTAGCTTGTATATCTGAAAGAGAAGATCCCTCCGATGCTGTTGTCATGCCTTCCTATTCTCCCTATAAGTCCCTATCCGATTTGCCCTCAAATTCCATTGTTGGTACTTCCTCCATCAGAAGATCAGCTCAATTGTTGAAAAATTTCCCTTACTTGAAATTCCAGTCCTGCAGAGGAAACGTTCTTACAAGATTGAACAAACTAGATGACCCATCATCAGAATTCGATTGTCTAATTCTAGCCACTGCTGGCTTGAAAAGACTAGACTTATCCCATAGAATAACCTATACCCTTAACTCAAAAAATGGCATGTATCATGCCGTTGGCCAAGGTGCTTTAGGTATAGAAATTAAAAAAAATAACTTTTATATCAAAAAAATATTAAACAAAATTCTAAATTTAGACGCAACTGCTTGTTGTTTGGCTGAAAGATCCTTAATGAGAACCTTAGAAGGTGGTTGCTCGGTCCCAATCGGCGTGGAATCAGAATTCAACAATAACATCCTCCTCCTAAAAGCCATTGTAATAAGTGTCGATGGTAAAAAATTCGTTGAAGATCAATATTCTTTAGATTTTTCTCCTCTAATATCCAATACCAACAACAACAAAGATAATATACAAAAAATATCATATAATGACCAATTTGTCCAATATGCTGAATCTGTCGGAAGAATTTTAGCCAATAATTTGATAGATAAAGGTGCAAAAGAAATCCTTAATGAAATTAATTTAAATAACATTGTGCATTAATTCATTCAATTGTTTATATATAAATTAATGGAATTTATCCACGTTTTATATATTATATCTCATTTTATATTTTTATTCTACTGCTTGTTTTGTTTTTTTCAATCTTATTAAACTATTAAATTTGTTTTTTCTATTTTTTTACTTCTGTTCTTTTCAATACATCTTTTGATAATTTCTTTCTTTTTATGACCATTTTTTTAGTTCATCTTCCTTCATATTTATTTTTTTTCTTTTCTCATTATTTTTCCTTGTCTTTCTTTTATGTTTTTTTCTTACTATTTTTTTCCTTAAACATTGGGTCTTTTGTTACTTTAATTATTTACTTATTTACTTATTTACTTATTTACTTATTTACTTTCTTATCATGATATTTAAAGGTGATCTTAGATTTTAACTGGCGAAACTTGTCAAAATAACTTTTTCATGTAAATATAAACTATATTTGAAAATCCATTAAAAAAATACTAAAAAACTGACTGATAATATTCTCGTTTTTTGTCTTTCCCTTTCTTTCTCTCTCTCTCTCTTTCCATTTATAAAAAAATAAATAAATATACATATAATAACAATTACTTATTATTTAAATGCCAAATTAACAATATGCTTTTCCTTCTCATCTTGTACTTTATTATATTCCGGTTTTCTATGTCTTTTTTCATTAAACTCCTTTCTTTTAATACTCTCCATTTGAACAATCTTATGATCTTTAGCCTTTTTAATACCTTTAGGCAAATGTCTATGTCTGCTGATCCTTTTAATCTCAGGCATATTCTTATACTTTTCTTTCAATCTTTCAACTTTAATCAAATGTGTCAACTCTCTTGATGACTTAATATTTGATCGTTCACTTGCTTTGGATCTCCAAACTCTCACATTACAATCATCAGATCCACTTATAATATACTTGTTATCACTGGAGTATATAACTTTGAAGACATGCTGCATTCTCTTGGTATGATAAATATCTCTCGATCTTGGTTCATTAATATTAAATATTCTAATGGTCTTATCATACGATCCAGTTACAAATTCCCTTCCGTTTGAACTAAAATCAATATCTAATATCGGTGCAACATGATCTTTAAATATCAATAATGATTTTTTCAAAAATCTCATATCATAATAATACGCATTCTCATCTTCTGAAGCTGCCATGAAATTATGAGGCTTGATTGGATTCCATGATATTGAATTGACCTTGAAACTTGTTATTAATTTTTGTATTGATGAATTGGTTCTTAAATCATATAAATTTAAATTATTGTCAGACCCTGAGGTCGCAAATATCGATGTTTGCAACGGATTGAATTTCAATGAAATGATTGAATCAGACCCCCATGTTAAATCAGATATTGGATTTGATCGATTTATATCCCATAATTCAACTTTATATCCTCCAGTGACAAATTTAGGCTCTGCCTTATGGCTATCCATTGCTTGAAAAGAGTATTCGCCTGTCCAACTCTTAATTAGACCAGGTTCTTTTGAATCGTCAAAGTTATTTCTATTACTATTTTCAGTGAATTCATCTCCATCTTCATCATCAGAATTCAAATTATCAATTATTTTATTCATTTTTTGAACGTTCACTTCATCATCATTGCCGTCGTCCACAAAATCATCATCAATATCACTATCACTATTAATTGAGTGAAAATTATTAAAATTACTTTTATGTCTAAAATCATGATCATTAAGGGACCATAATTTTACTGTGTTGTCTTCACCACCACAACTTAGTAAATTATTACCATTATTCCTTAAGATTGTTAAAGATTTTATTATACCATTATGGGCTTTAAAACTTAATTTTTCATCTTTTGGATCGTTCAAATTCCAGTACTTAATAAAACCATCACCACTACCGGTGCATAGTTTACTTAAATCGTTGTCGTTTTTACAGATAGAATATACACCATCAGCATGACCACGTCCAAGCTGATATAAAAATGGTTTTGCAAATAATCTTTCCAATTTTGTTGCTTGCAAAGCCTTTGCATATTCTCTCTGTTTTTCAAATGGATGTAATGTGGAAGAATTATTCTTTGGTAAAATTGATTTTTGGGTGTTTCTCACTGGTACATAATTGTCAGATGAACGGCTAATAGTTTTTATCTTCATTGTGAATGTAATACCAAAGTAATTATATAATTTTTCAGCAGTAAATTGATTTATTCTTTTGGATGAATGACTTTTGTTTTCTATCAAAAAAAAATTCAGATCAGAAAAAAAATAATTATAAATTTCAGAACGGACCGGAATTCAATTTTTCACATGTGTTGTTTGCTTCTTTTCTGTGCCACAAAGAAACCTGTCATTTACTAATATATGCCGGTTTTGTAGGTATTTAATATTGTGCTGAATAAAATAGTTGTGATTGTTCTATCTTTACAAGTGCTCATCCACTCACCAGCCTCTAATTACTTGTTTAATTCTTAGGATATAATCTAATCTCCAAATCACCGATAAAACACCCTTCGCAGTGCTTGGGGTAGTTATATTTATTGTGGTCAATTGCATAATTCTATTGCAAAAGACAGCTACTGGAATAAATGCATTTTTATAAATGGCATCTTCAATTGATTCTTCTACTGTTGATTTTCCTCAAACTTCTACTTCTACCACATCTCCCAGCGAAATCAATAGCCACAATGCCACGCTAACATTACCCAAGAACAATGTCAAGAACAGTGAAAGTGGCATCAAAAGGAACACTAACACGCAAAATAATGGTGAAACTGATAATATAAGCATATCAAATAGTGCCAATAACAGCAGTTTGGTAGTTAATAGCAATTCAAATTCAAGAAAACCATCTTTTTTCACGCACTTAGCACTTGGGTCAGTCTCTTCATTAGATAGTTTTTCTATTAAGAAAAAATTCGATGACAGATTTCAAACCAGAATTAGTGTTTTATTCAACTTCAAAAACAACAACAACGGTCAGATCAATAATGATTTAAAAACATTTCAAAATTTTAATAATCAATTGAATGATTATCATTTAAATAATAATAGTTACAATAACGACAGCGAGCAAATCGATAATGAAAACTCTGACAACAATTTTGAAATAATAAGATGGATGCCTTTAAGAGCCACGACTGATTTTTTATATTCCGATAATTCAATTATAAACTATGGGTTACCATCAGTAATAATTCCTGCTGATTTAATTTTTGTTGGGACAACCAAGGGATTTATAATAGTATTTGATTACCATCAAACTTTAAGATATATCTTGGGAAGCATTAATTCAAATTCAATCAAATCTGGAACTATAACATCATTGGCGGTATCTTCAGACTCTACTCATGTTCTATCTGGCCATGAATCTGCTGATATCTACTTGTGGAATTTAAAAAAGATTAAAAACCCAATATTACAAATAAATGCAATTACTATTGATGAAAGAAATTACAAAAAAAAAATCGGTCATTTAGTTTATAAGAAAATCCACCAATTGAGCTTTTTACCCAATAGACATACTGCATTTATTTCTGCAGACATTGATGGTTATTTGATCTTGCACAATGGTCACAGAAATTATCTTGGTAACCTAGTTTCAAGAAACATCAAGTTATACGGAAATTCACTATCATCTCCTATTCTTTCTTCCTCTCAAAATGGCTCTGACCGTAATTCTTTCATTGACAATAATAACAATAGCAATAGTATTGTTACTGTTGATAATTATATTATTAACGAAGGCACAACAATTTTTTCTGCAAGTACTTTACCTTTGGGCTCAATAGTGGATAAAACAGACTCGATGGGCCTTGTAGCTTTATTAACTACTAATACATTGGCTATAATATCAACTTCTCCTGATTTAATAACTCAATTTACAACTGGAAAGCCAAAAATCTTAAATTTAAAGAATAATGGTTTATCTGGTTGTTTAGCTTGGTTTCCTATAACAACTGTAGAAGGTAATAATAAATCATTAGTGACTATACCTCCAAGATTGGCATACTCTTGGAGTAATGTTTTAACTATTTTAGAAACACCATTTGATGATGATTATAACAATGAATTCAATTCTGACTTAAAGTCTATTAAAATTGTCAATAAAAAAAGATGGGTGGGCGACGAATCAATAGTATCAATTCAATGGTTAAATTCTAAAGTTTTAGTTTTACTAACTGTAACGCAGCAAATAATTTTACTCAATTCTTTAACAATGGAACCATGTAGCATACATAGTAATGGCTACTATTATAAGAAGGGTATTAGTAATTTTAAGATTGATATTTTAACTACTTGTCATTTATTTCATCAAAGAATGTATCAATCAGTTGAAAGACGAATATCTAATAATAATTCCTTTAGAATTCATGATTTTTATTTTAATTCTTTCAAATCATATAAAAGTAGAATATTTTTATTAGGGGAAAATGAAATAATGGTTGGGACTTTATCTAATTGGGCAGATAAATTATTAGAATTAATTCAAAAAGGTAGCTTTATTCAGTGTCTTGAACTAGCAAGAAAATTTTATCTTGGAATTGAATGTGATTTAGTATTAATTGGTTTGCCTGAAGATGATTTGCAAAGGAAAAAATTAGTTTATCAACATTTATTAGACATAATGTTTGCATCAATTAAGTTTTTTTTCAAAAATTTAAAAAAGTTTCAAAATTTGAATAAAGTCAATCAAATTAATTTAGATACAGATCAACACAATATTTTTTATAATCAATTATCTGATTTTTTATTTATTTGTTTAAATACTTGCATCACAATTGATGCAGATCTGTTTATTTATGAGAAATTATTTGAGAAGTTTAGCCAAACAAATTATTTGGATATTTTTTTTGATGTTTTAGAACCATTTATTTTAAAAGAAAAATTTACAAAAGTTCCTCCGATGATTTTCAGTGAGATGGTAAAATATTATGTTTTTAAAAATAAAGGTGAAATATTAGAAGAAATGATTTGTTTGTTAGATATTGAAACTTTAAACATAGATTTGACACTATCATTATGTGAACGATATAAATTGACGGATACGTCTATTTTTATTTGGAATAAATTACTAAATGATTATATCAATCCATTGATGAAATTTATTGAGGATATCAATCAAATAGTCTTTTTTGAAGATTCAATTAATGGCAATGGTAATATTTTTGATGGTGATGATGATGATAAATCAAATTTTAGCAAACAAAAGGAAATTGAATTAAAGGGCAAAGAACCTAGTAATATGGATAAAAATAACAAAAATAGCACTAATTATAATCATATGAGCTATAAAAATATAGATGAATCTTCTGATTACCCTGACAATGATGACAATAATGATAATAATGATAATAATGATAATAATGATAATAATGATAATAATGATAATAATGATGATAATGATGATAATGATGATTATGATGATTATGATGATTATGATAAAAACAATGATAATACAACATTTGATTTATTGGATTGTGATCTAAATTTAAATGAAAAACAAGAAAAGATAGACAATTGTTTGAAAGTTTACGCATATTTATCATTTATTTTGACTGGACGACAATATCCTGCAAATAAGTTAATCGAAGATAGTGATAAATGTAAAAAAGCAAAACTTTTAATATATTATGTATTGTTTAATGGAGATTATATTGAATGGCCAATAGGATCTGAGAATATTGTCAAAGTAGGTAATGAAGAAGAGTTGAAAGGCGGAGGATTAAATATTGATTTCCCATATTTATACTTGTTGTTGAAGTTTAATTGTATTGAGTTATTATCAGCATTTAACGAGGCATTTGAGGATGAATTGTTAAATGAGGATGAAATAATGGATGATTCTGGAATAATTGATAATAGGTATGGTAATGAAAACGGTAACGATGAAGAAGGAAGGGAGGAAGAGAATAGTAAAGAGAATATTAACAGTTATAAAGAGTTTAACAATAATCTTAATAAATATAGTTTAAAAGTCAATCGGCAGTATATTATTGAGGTTTTGTTAAGTATATTTAAAAGTAATTTGGATGAGTTTAGTGAAATAGATCAGGTTTATTTATCAATTTTCATTTCAAGAAATTATCCTAAGTTTTTTCAGTTTATCAAATTGAACGATTCGACCTGTTCAAAATTGATTGAGAAATTGTGTTCATATTGCAGTTTTGGTTTCGAAGAACAAGAAGAAGATGGGGGCAATAGATATGGTAAGGGTGAAATTGAGTTTTTGAAAGAAGATTGTGAATTGAGTTTGCAAAGTTTATTGTCGATTTATCAGCCATCTAATTTTTTAAATTTGATACCGATATTAGAAAAGGCGAAATTTTACGATGTGTTATTTAATATATACCGAAACGAGAATAATTATGGGAAAATGTTGGAGTTGTTATTAAAGATTCGAAATCTCAAGAATAAAAGTAAGAATAAAAGCAAGAATAAGAGTAAGAATGGTAAGGTTGGTGGTGGTAATGATGGTAAAAAAAAAGGAAATTTTCAGTATCAGTATCAGTATCAGTATCAGGATCAGGATCAGGATCAGTATGAAGATAGATATGAAAATGAATATGAATATCAAATTGAGAATATTAAATTGGATGAAATGATATTGAATAGTTTGAGAATTAGTAAAGAAGATACTCGGGAAAGAATTAGGATTGAGCAAGTGTTGAAGCAGCATTTTTTGCAAATAGTTGTTGAGGATACTGAGGAAATAGCGAGGATATTTAATGAACATTGTAAGGAGATGAATGAAGAGATATATGGAATGGAAGGAGGTGATGAATATGAAGATGGTAAAATACGAGAGGCTCAATATGTATATTTGAATACGATTCATGATGTTGAGAGTGAAGATAGTGGAGATAGCGAAGATAGTGAAGATAGTGAAGATAATGTGATATTTTATATTAAACTATTGAGTGAATTTAAGGATTCGAGTCGGTTGATGAAATATTTATGGAAGATGGATAAGAGGAAGAATGAAGAGAGTTATGGTAGGAAGAAAGAACAGGTTATTGAGATAATTGAGAGGAATGAGATGATTGATGTTTTGATATATTATTTGATGGAGAATGAAGAGAACGAGCGATGTTTGACGAAGATAATTGAGTATTTGAACGAGCGAGTTGATAAAGTAGTTGAGAGTGAGAAGAATGAGAAGAATGAGAAGAATGAGAAGAATGAGAAGAATGAGAAGAATGAGAAGAATGAGAAGAATGAGAAGAATGAGAAGAATGAGGATAAGAATAGAGAGATTGAAAAGGAATTGTGGAAGTATGTATCGAAAGCGATTGAGATCTGTCAGATTGATATTGGAGAGGAAGATAGAAAGGGAGAATTGAAGATAAATGAGAGAATGTGGTTAAAGTTGATCGAAAGTGTTATTAGGATGAGTAAGAAGGTTGAGATTGAAAAAAAGAAGTATGATGGGGACGATAAGAAAATGAATGAAATGAAGGAGTTAATGAATCGATTGATTCAAGAGTTGTTTAGGAATTTGATAAACACTTCATTAGGGAAATCATTGGCCATTGATTATATCAGTGAGAAAGAAGGAAAGTTGAGTGAGGAAAGAGAGGAAGAACGAATTGAGGAGATGATGAAAAAACGAGAGAGCAATAATTTATTTCTACGAATTTTCAACAAGTTCTTGGAGAACATCAACTGCGATAATGAAGAGGAGACCAAGTTGGGAGAAGTGAAGAAGATCATCAAGGAGATTTATTTGTCGTTTGAGTACGAGATTAAGTTTTTGAAGTATTCGATCAAGTTAATTGATGGAGAAATATTGAAGAAGATTGAAAAGTTGAATAAAGAAAAGTGTAAAGGGTGGATGGTCAAAAACATCAATTGCAAGGTGTGCTTCAAGAAGATGTGGGGAAAGGACATTGTGAATGAAGGGTTCAGTGTGTGGGAGTACGAAAAAAGACAAGAGATTGGGATCAAGAAAGAAAACGAGAGGGATGGTGGTGACGAAAATGGCAAAGAAATGGAGAAGGGTGGAAGATTGGTTGTGTTCAAATGCAACCATGGGTATCACAAACGGTGTCTCAAGAACTTGGGAATCAAAAAAGACGACGAAATGAAGTGCATTGTGTGCGAGTCGTAGAGATAACGATGAGCAAGAACAAGAACAAGAACAAGAACAAGAAGCATAATAAAAGTAATGTTGCAATTCAAAGCGTAGAGTGGAAGCCGGCCCAGGGCAGCGGTACAAAAGGAGGAAGTGCAGAAACACACGCTGGGAGCGCATGATGCATCTCCCGCAGTGCACGCCTTCACATGCATAGCACCCGACCAGCGCAGCGGATGAAGCCTTATTTCTGTGAGGCAGACGCGGCGGGCGCGAGGTTGGCGGAAGAATTTGAAGAACGTGGGCGTGGAAGAAGCAGAAGGAGAGGAGGAAGAGGAACAAGGGAGAGCAAGGGGAGGGAGAGCAAGAGAAAGCAACGAGAGAGGAAGCAACGACAGGAGAAAGGCAGGAAGCAGCGGCAGCAGTGGGAGCACGTGTGCGTGGTGCCGCCTGGAAAGGAGTGACTCTGGACCCGTGGCGCGTGGACGAGGGATTGGTGGTTCGTGTAGGATTCGTCTCGAAGGTCTTTTCGTCCGTCGCCACGACTGGGCAAATTCAGATTCTGACAGATTTGGGATCGCACTTTCTCCAGCTTCAGAGCTCCTGTTGCAGCTGTTCTATTCCACTGCTCTATTCCACTGCTCTATTCTATTCCACTACTCTATTCTAGTCTACTATTCCACTACTACTGCTCTCCCACTCTCCTCCACTGTTCCTCTCTCGTCCATCCTAATCTAATCTAATCTACTCGTTTCTTACCTAATCGAATCTCACTCCTCATACTAGTTCACACTATTTCACACTATTTCACACTAGCTCATACCTCATCTAATCGACTCCATTCTGTTATATTATATCCATTCTACTTTTTCACTTTGCCCTAATCCTCCAAAAAAAGAGTTACAAATCTAGAAATCCAAATCTAAAAAATCTGAAAACTAGAAACCTAGAAACCTAGAATACTAGAAAAAAAATTCAAAAAAAAATTCAAAGTAAAACGTCAATAAAAATTTTTTTCTCGCCCACTATCCAATCTCTATTCAATCATATATCTTATCCATCTCTCTATCTGTCTAATAACTTCCTTATTTCATTCTCACACTGTCTCTCTATCCTATACTCTTCCATCTTAACCTCACACTCTCAAGCTCTCAAGCTCTCAAACTCTCATAATCCTTTTCTTTTTCTCCCTCTTTCTTTTTTTGTCCCTCACTCCACTTTCTTTTTCTTTCCTTCTCTACTCGTCTCTGCAAATTTAATGAATTAATTCGCCTATACTATTCTACCTGTTTCTCAAAATGTCCTACTATCAGCAAGATCTGTCCCTTCAAAACATACAAAATTACAACAACTACACCAACTATAATGTTTACAGTAACAACAACAACAACAACAACAATAATAATAATAATAATTATAACAACCACTCCCACTCCCATCACTCAAACTCTCCCTCAAAAAGAGTAAGAAGAGAAGTAAGATTCGGTGACTACACCCTAGGTCAAACCATAGGCTCTGGCGAGTTTGGCAAAGTCAAACTAGGCTGGAAAAGAAACAGCACAAACTGCCCTCAAGTCGCCATCAAACTCATAAAAAAGGATTCAATTCCCACCGGCTCTGAAAGAGAATCAAAAGTCCACAGAGAAATTAACGCCCTCTCCAAACTAAACCACCCCAACATTGTCAATCTTGTTGAAGTCCTCCAAAACGACAAATACATAGGCATCGTCCTCGAGTATGCCCCCAATGGCGAGCTCTTCGAATACATCCTCAACAAAAGATACCTCAAGGACAACGAAGCCTGCATCCTCTTCTCCCAACTCATCTCCGGCGTCGACTACATGCACTCAAAGGGCATCGTCCACAGAGATCTCAAACTAGAAAACATCCTTCTCGACAACAAAAAAAACATCATAATAACTGATTTCGGCTTCGTCAACAGCTTCACCCCAGATACTGAATCCGAACTCATGAAAACATCTTGTGGCTCCCCCTGCTACGCTGCTCCAGAACTTGTCCTCAACAATACTGCCTACAACGCTAGAAAGGCTGATATATGGTCCTGTGGTGTCATCCTCTTTGCCATGCTCTGTGGCTACCTTCCCTTTGACGACGACGAGGAAAACGTCAACAGCGAAAACATCAAAAGACTCTACTGGTACATTTCAACAACAAAACTAATCTTCCCAGACTACGTCAATCCTTCCCCAAGAAACTTGCTCATGAACATCCTCGTCATCGATCCCACAAAACGTTACAACCTAAAGCAAATCAGATCTCATGCCTGGCTAAGAAATCGTGTCGAATTCCTCTCTGTCACTCCTGACGAATGGGATAAAATCAACCAAAACAAAAAAAACAACTCCAGACAACACAACTCAATCAACTCCACAGCCTCCTCCACCTCCACCTCCAACAACCTCACCTCTGCAAACATCAAAACCCAACTACTACCCTCAAATATCCAAGCCCACAACTTGCTCTTCTCACGACCCGAAGACAACAGAAGAATGTCCTATATCGAGCCTTCAACAAACTCCTTTGCCATCAACAACAACAGATTCGTCAATGCCAACAAAATCTTCACCTCAAATGGCATGCCAACTTCTGCCAGCACAAACGAAGTCTCAAGATCAAAATACCAATCAATCGACTTCTCAACTCAATCAGTCAATAACGACAACAACAGCAATAACAATATCCCTAAAACTCCAACTTCTCCAACTTCTCCAACCTCTCCACTATCTCCCACTTTTGATAAACAACAACCAAAACTAATCTTTCAAAAACCTCATCCAACTTACTCATCAATTATCCACGACAACAATCCTCCCTCCTCATCCGAAATTCCTTCGTCTGTCTCGGTTCCAAACGTCTCTAGCTATATTCGCCCAATTGTTCGTGACACAAGCTACCGTCGTTCAACTGCAAGAGCTAACCCAAATAATAATATTCCTCCAATCATCGAACAAAGCCCCTCTAAAAAGAACAACCCCATCAATAAAGAAAACATAGACACAAATCCAAACAAAAAACAACGCAACAACTCCATGTCTTTAAATACTCAAAAACTACCTGGCCACACCAATAAAAAACCAAGACCTTCCTCATATCACCCAGGCTTCAGCACTGGCTTTTCAAACTTGGATTTCGGCTACCTTAACTCAAAACAACTCCAATACGGCAAATCTTCGTCTTCTTCAAAAAAAACGAAACAAGTGGATCCCATAAATGAAGAAATTTCTTCAACGAAAACTGCTCCCACTAATGAAATTAAAGTGCGTCCAAATCATATCAGAAATGGTAGCGAACCCGAAGTGGAGTTTAGTAATATAACAGGTCTTATCGAGAAACCTGAAATCAAAAGATCAGAATCAACTCACACTAATCCAACCGTCATTACTTCTTTAGAAGAAAAATTGGATAACTTAAAGATCTCTCCCAACAACACTGATTCTAATAATCCAATCGATCTCAAATCAATTGCACTGGGCCCAAGTACAAATTTAAAACTCTCAATTAAGCCAACTGAAAGCAATAACAGCAATGCTCGCAGCAGCAATGATCCTAAAACTCCTGAAGTCCATACTCCAATCACTCCAGTAAAACAAAACCAAAATAGATTAAGTACTATAATAATTGGTGACACGTATGAAAAATTGATTGCCGGTGCTGCTAATGATGATTATAGTAAAGATATCGTTGCAACCCCAGAAAGTAGAAAGTCAATTCATTTGCACAAGGATAGTTTAGGTAAAAGAGACTCTGTTTATCTGAATAACAATAGCAATAATAATAATAATAATAGATCTCCAAAATCTAATAAAAGCAATAACAGTAGTGGTAATCATAATAATAACACTACAGACACCAGTCCAATTTCCGAAAAACGTCATTCAATAATTGTGGAAAGTAGTTTTTTGCCCAAAGCTGTTCGCACAAATGGTGGAATGAAAAAATCTCAATCTTATAAAGTCAAACCCTCAATAAATTCAAACAACAATGGAACTGATAATATCACCCCTGTTAAGCAAGATAGAAGAAGATTCAGTTTATTTGGATCATTCTATGGAAGTTCAGGCCACCATGAAGTGGAAAAGACGATAGCCAATAACAATAGTATTCAAAACCGTCGTAATAGCAGTTACATTAATCATTCAAAAAGACCACTGCAACTGCAAAATCATGAAATAAAAATTAATGGAAGCGAATCGACAGATCACAATAGTGCTCGAAAACAAAGAGTCTCCTCAAGAGCCTCAACGATGACTTCCAAAACCAGCTCTAAAGAAGGGTCAGCTGCTAAAAGAGTGATTGATTTCTTTAGAAGAAGAAGTGTTCGTGTTGGTGGACACAATTGAAATTATTACCACTTAATTTCATATAAAAACAATCAATTTAACAGAAATATCAAAATTTCAAATCTTTGTCAAAACTTAATCTTTTTATTTTTCTTATCCTGTCTTTTATATTTTGATTGTCCTTAATCAAAAAAAAATATTGTTTTTGTTTTTGTTTTTGTTTTTTTATTTAATTACTTTCCTTTATTACTTTTCATTTTTTAATTCAAGTAGATAAAAGGGATTATTTTCATAGTTTATTTATCCATTTTACTTTCATTAAATAATGTCTTACTTTATTAATTTAATCTAATTTTTTTTTTTCCACATTTTGCTTTTCCATCAAGTCAAATACATTAAATTGAATTACAAAAAACGGAAAAAAAATGTATACAAAAGTGAAATTAATTATAAATGTTATGAGTATTTTTTTAATGTTTTGTTTTGTTTCTGTTCCTGTTTTTGTTTTTGTTTGTTTTGAATAACAGATTTTAGTTTTCTTCTGTTTAAATTTTTAATAAATTATAAGTTCACTTCTCATTTTTTATAAATTGTATTTTGATGTCATCTTTTTTTGATTTTGTTTTTAGTTTAGTAATTATAATTTTAATTACATTTAATAATTTTGATAAAATTTATTTAATTTTGATTCTTTATATTCAACAAACTCTACAGAATTATAACACACATTCGCTTAATATTAATATATCAGTCAATCAATTTTCTTCCATCTTTTATATAATAGTCTTATAGTAATTTCATAATAATATTGAACCGAGAATTTATTAAATTGAGATTGACTGTTCAATTTCTACCATTTGTAGTTTAAAGCAATTAAAAATTAAATTTTCTATATTAAATATTTTGACAGTTCCAATTTAATCTTTATTATTGTTCTACGAAATAAAACATGTGTTGGTTGGTTCTATTTTTAATTGGTATATTAAAAGCGGAAATGAATTGAAATGAATTGATAGATTAAGAATAAGAATATTGAATAATTTAATTGGATAGAATCACAAATTTTAATAGATGTGTCATTATTGGTAAATATTCCAAAAAAATTGATTAAAATAAATATTTACTAATTGGTTGTAATTTTCTGACATGATTAGTCTCAAAAAATTCTGGAGCAATAGCATTATCAACTTGCCCACGAACCTTTCCTGTTAATCTAAAATCTCTTTCCATCACTTTAAAAATAAAAATAAAAGTAATAAAATTAGATTAGTATTAAGTTCAAATAAAACAATAAAATAAAAATTAATGGTGAAAGATAAAACATACTTTGACGATCCCATCTATCAAGACCAAATCTAACTCTTTTATAATCGTTTTCGTAAGCTTTTACAACAGCTAAACCACCACCGCCTAAGGTGAGCAACTATATTAAGAAAAAAAAAATTAATTAGTTTCATTAGTCCTTTAAAACCATCTTGCAAATTGTTCAAAACAGTCAACAACCAATCGATGATAGACATACAGTGCCCATGATGGCATATGGCAAAAGAGCCTCAAATGGAATCATTGTAGTACAGTTAAGCTGGTGTAATTATAGTGATATCTGAAACTCTGGAAGTTACAAACAACGCTTCAGGACAATTTTCAACCACAGCTTGAACAACTCGAAACAGCCCAAAGATTTGATTATATTGGTGATTATTTTCAGCTGCATTTGATTGGTCAAAGTATTTCACGTGACTTAGAGCACGCGTTTGGTTTTGCAGAATTTCTTTTGTTTACTTTTTAATGTTTTTGTTTACTTTTGGGGTGACTTTTAATTTGGTGTTGTTTACGCCGTTTACGTGTTTGTTTTGATTTTGTTTAGGGTAAACAGAAGCAGCACAGGCAACTGAGGCAGCTGGGGCACAGAAGCGCAATGTTTATATGGAAATATATTCAAGACAGGAGACAAAAAGTGAAGTGGAATGAAATGATTAAACATAATTAAAAAAAGAAAGAAGAGTGTAAAAACAAAAAGTAAAAAAAAGAGTGAAGGTTGTAAGGATAGGTAAATTGGATAAATAGGGTGGATAAAATAAATAGATAATTGAATAAATAAGTAAAAGTAAAAAGATATAATAAATAGAAAGATATAGTAAATAAACTAACTAACTAACTAACTAAATAAATAAATAAATAAATAAATAAATAAATAAGTAAAAAAAAGAAAAAAAAATGAAACTAAATTTATAAAATATCAATGAAAAATATTAAATATGTCAAAGTATCAACTTGAATTAAAAATAATAACAGTGATAGTAATCAGATTAATAATAACAAGAGAAAGGAAAAAAAACTAACTGACCATTGTTATTCATGAGGGATGATGAAGGGGAAACAAATAAAGGGAAAAAAAAGTAAAACGAAAAAAAACCAACAAAAATTAAAATTGTTGAAAAAAAATAATGAAAAGAATATTCCAGATAATTCTTTAGTAATGAGGATTGGCATAATTGACGATTTTAGAATTTGAAAACCGACTTATATAGCAAAGCCTTTTCTTCATTCACTTGACTTAGAGAATATTCTTGTTTTAATATTTTGGGAAAAACAAAGATAGTACTGTAATCATTATTTGACCTTGGTATTGAATATTCTGAGATTTCTGTTTGATTATCATTTGTAATATAGTCGTTGCCATTGAGATCATTTGATTGATTTGAATTGAGAATGTTGCGATTTATTTTAGCGCTATCATTAATATATTCACTATCAGGATTTGTATAAGGATTGTTGTGAATGGCATTAGTTAAAAGTGCAAGTGAATTGTCTACAATGTTTTCATCATCACTTTCAATTGTTACGGGAGAAGGAGTATTATTTTCAAGAGGAGATTTGACAGGTGGTATTTTTTGAGTTTCAAAATTTTGTGATTTTTTATTGTTATCGTTATCATCATCATTATGGTTATCAAGTAGAACAGTAGTTTCTCGTAGAGAAGAAGATTTCGAGGGTTTATATTTATTAAAAGAGGTGTTGATGTTATTATTTGGAAATATGGGAGAGGAAGCGAGGTTATTGTATAATAGTTTGTTTTTGTTAGCAACTTTTACTGTACTCTGTAAGATATTTTCGTTGTTGTTGTTGTTGTTTGAACTTTTGGGAGTGCTTGAATTTAGAATTTGAGACTTATCATAGTCAGATACAGTTTTATTCACTTGATCGAGAGCATTGTTGTAGTTTTTGATATGCAAGTTGTCGTTGTTATTCTTGCTTTTTGTGTTATCATTATTATTATTATTATTATTATTATTATTATTATTATTATTATTATTATTATTATTATTATTATTATTATTATTAGTAGTAGTAGTAGTAGTAGTAGTAGTGTTGATAGAGGAAGAATTGTTTTCCTTAAAGGATTTTGATTTTAGTGATTTTTTTTTAATTTTTGATATTGAGTTTATTGCATATGGGTTAGCTATGTTGAGAATTTTCTGATCTAAAGAGTTGTTATCAGTAGAAAAAAAGTTGTTCAGGTTATTTATCGTGTCTATGCTAGTTATTGTATTTGTATTTGCATTTGTATTATTTAAGTGGTTATTGTTATTAAGATCATTTGATATTGAGTTGTTGGATATGATTTGTAGGAGAGTTGAAGCAGTATCACTTAGTTTTTGGTTGTGGTTGTTGTTATAGTTGTAGTTATCAGTGGAAGAAGGGGAGTTGAAGCTCTTTGATTTTCTATGAATTTTTTTGTTTGTGGAGGTTATATTTTGATTGGAAGAAAGTGGTATGTTTTGATCGAAAGATCTTTTATTGCTTTTTAGAGTTGAGTGAGTCAAGTTTAAAAAGGAGGTTTCTAGTTGGTCGTTGATTTTGTTTGGATAATTTTGAAAGTTGGAGGAATTTAGTATTTTTTTAGAGGAAGGAGTTGAAGATGACTGAATTGAGTAATCGTTATTGAGATTTTCAAACGTTGTGTTGTCGTTATTGTTGTTTGTGGTATTCTCAGAGATATTTTGTTTATTGTTTAGCATGTGAACGAGAGAGATAATATTTTGGGATTCCAATTCGTCAATACCCTTTTTTTGTAGGTAAAAAGATAAGATCTCATCTGGAGATTTATCGTTATTTTCGTTTATTATCGAGTTTATAGATAACTTATCGTTATTTCGGTTATTTTGGTTATTTTGGTTATTATTGATATCAGTGGTATTTTGTTTGGTGGATATTTGGGAGCTTGAGGTTATGTTATTTAGTTTGGACAAATCGGGAGGAGCAAAAGTAAAAGGTTTTAGATTGACAGATTTGAAATGAACATCGCTGGAAGAGGGCCTTGGTTCAATTTGTATGGTTATATTGTTATTGGAAGGACTGGATGGGCCTGGGAGAGATTGGAGATTGTGGTTAATATCGTGATTGTCGCGACTGGAATTTGTAGGAAGAGGTTTGGGGTGGGAGGACTTGGTGGGACTCGATTTGAACCAGGAGGTGGGCGAGAAATAATTGGTGAATCTGGAAAACTTGTTGAGAAGAGGAAGAGCAGCAGAAGAAGAAGAGAACTGAGAGTGGGAGTCGTCGTTGAGAATAACAATACGCTTGTCTTTCTGAGAAGGAGGTCTGTCGTAGGGAGTTTTGGAGGGCAGCGAGCGAGAGGCAGAGGCCTTGTTTGCTCTGGAGCGAATAACTCGTTTGTTGTCCATGGAGGGCGTGAGGAAGAACAGAAGCAGAAAAGAGGAGGAGCAGAGGGCTTTAAGTAGCAGGCACAGCACGAAAGATGATACAAGAGTGGTTTGGTGTGATATCGTTACTGTTTTCCTCCAAATTAAAACTCAGCTCACTCATAAAAATTTCTGTTTTGATGCTCCCACACAAAACGCACGCACGTGCCGCCCGGCGGGCTGGATCTGGGAGCCAACCGAAGCAGCACTAGAAGCACCAGAAACAGCACCAGCACCAGCACCAGAAGCAGCACAATGAAGGTCACTGTTGAATTGCTAGGCGGCTTGCACCAGATCTTCACCTTTGGCGCCAAAATCGTCGACGTCAACGTCCTGGAGGAGGCCGAGCTCGGGGCACTTGTCGAGACGTTGTGCCTCTCCCTCAGCTCCAGCTTCTCCAACTGCTCGCCCTCTCTCGCAGACCCTGTGTATCGCACCAGCCTTGCTCGCTTTGTCGACTGCGAGCATCTACAGCTCACCGGCGAGTACAAGATCATTCCAGGCATCATGGTCCTCATCAACGACGTCGACTGGGAGTTGTTTGACGAGGAGGAGACTGTGCTCCATCCCAACGACGTTATCACCTTCACCTCCACTCTCCATGGTGGCTAGGCCTCTGCCATCAGCACGACGATCTCAATTACTCTAGATGCAACCTATATATTTACCTACTGCAAATACACATTTTCTATCACAACGCAACCAACCTGCATCCCAAGAGGCCCTGCCCTTCCCATTCGTACGATGGCACCAACTCCAACGTAATTCTGCTGAGCTTGTCCTTATCGCTTTCACTCTCACTCTTTTCACGTAGTACTATCAACTCCACCTTTTTCCCTTCTTTGCCTTGCAAGTACTCGTTCAATTGCTTGAATCCCACTTTTGTCTTATCAAACGTATTGAAATCAAACTCTTGGTCAATTCGAATTATCTTATCCTCCTTGATCAATCCACTCTTAGACCCTGGCGATCCAGTTAAAACTTCAATGACCTTTAGGAATGGTGCACCATCTTTCCCATCTTCATGGTTAACATCCTCATCTATTTCTTTAATACTGCTGAAATACTGCACAAGACCGGCCTCAATCTTACCCATCAACTTCCTTAAATCATTTTGTAAATAGTTCACCTTCTTCCTTATCAATATAACCTCATATATATCTATATCCCCCCTGGGAAACCCTTCTTCATCGATCATCTTGCTCTCCATATCACATTTGTATTTCACCTTCATCTCGTTCAAGCTAAACTTAATCTCCTCTTCAATCTTCCCCTTCAATTCAATCATCTCTTTATTACTTAGCCCGCCATCTAAATCATACTTATCAATATCATAATCTTTATCCAATATATCATAATTGTTCTCTTTACTGATCTCTTTTCTAATCATTTTCACTCAATTACTCTTTCTTTCTTTTTCTTCTTTTTCTTCTTTTTCCTCTTCTTCTCTATCTTTTATCTGCCTATTGCCACCCCTCCCATCTATAAAGGGCATCCTTCCCTTATCCTTGCCTCTTTTGTCAATTGCTCCCATTCTCATTACTTTCCATCACATGACCCTCTTCCGGTTTTCTGCCACATCACCAAACAATCTACAAACTCTTTTCAAACAATAGCAAAAATACTAAAAAATTTTGATCAGAAGAATTTCATCTTTATCAATTCGACCTTTTAATAACCTTCTCAACACTTTTTCAATTTGCTACTTGATAAAATTATAAAATTATAGAATTATAAAAACACAAAAAATACATAAAAAACGCATAAAAAACACATAAAATATATATCTTAAAAACAAATGATCTGCTCAAATTTTTTTCTTTTGCTTTTCTTTGCTCTATTTTCCTCAATTCTCGCTATTGAACAAAACTCTCCCCCAATAAGCTCTGATAACAATAACAATGACGATGACGATAACCAAATAATTAATGACTTGCACTTTAACATATCCTACAACTTGTTCCTCGCCGGCGTCAAACTACCAACCAACGATCCCTACAAACCAATCCATCTCTTTAATACTGATCAAATTCTCGTCGACTACTCCTTCCAAAATGATGGTCTAGAAAATGAAGTCAAAGTTGTTGGTCTTGGTGGTAACTTTAAAAATCCTCTCAACAACAAAATCATTGCAAATTTATCTGACTCAAACATTGGCCCAATCTCAATCACCCCTCATCAATCAAAATCCTTTCAACAAAAGATTTCAATCAACTTGAATTCCGACGAAAACCAAATTTACTTACTATCTCCAAACATCTACATTGTCTACTTGAACAGATTAATGGTCATAACAACTAAACCCCAATTACTAACCGTAGCTGACAAACCTGTTTCACTCTTTGATTTGCAATTATTATCAATCATATTGACTTTGTCCACCAGTTTTTCGGCTCTATTCTACTTCCTCTTAACAAAATTCGCTCTTCCTTATTTCGGTATTAATAACTTCAATTTATTAGACAAATTGCCTTTCTTATCAAAAAAGTCTCCCTCATCAATTAAACAATCTTCTTTAGACTCGTCATCTGCTAAAACAACAGGTGCTACAATTAACGAAAAAGGTTTTGATGAATCCTGGTTACCAAGTAACCACTTACAAAAAACTTCATCTAAAAAATCAGCCAAATCTAAAAAATAATTTTACTTTATAGCATATACTTTATCTTAAAAAATTAAATAATCAAATATTAATAAATAGTTAAAAATCTTTCCCAAAAATTATCATAAATAAAAATTAAAAAATTCATAACTGATTTGACACTTTGCTGTAGATGTATGCATGTATATGTATACATATATGCACATTAACATATACATGCAAAGCTCCAATTCCATGGATCTACTGATTAAAGTTCAAAGTTTTTTAAATTTTTCAAATGAATTGAGTAAAAGAGAAGAAAAATTTAATCAAAAATATTGCTTTTAAAAGGACCTCGTTTGATTATTTTAAAACACAAGATTTTAACTATATCAACTAAAATATTAGCAATGGGTAAACGAAAGATTAAAGAAACTCCTCAATTGAGAAAAAGAAAAAAATTAATCACAAGTCAAGACAACCAACTAGATTCCTTTTCATTTTCCAGCAAAAAATTACCCAAAAATTATAGTAATATCTTAAATAGAGATAATGATAAGGATTATGATGATCTAGAGTTGAAACCAAGATCTTTTAAAAATATGCCCAATAATGATGACACAGTAGAGGGCTTACCAATTAAAACTAAAGATGGCTCTATTAAACGAGTAATCAGAAAAAAAGAAAAATTAAAACCTATCCATCAAGATGAAATAAACAGCGACGATGATCATGATGATGCCGAAAGTCAATACAACAATAGCAACAGAATAAACTCAAAAAGTAGAAATTCTGATTCTGATTCTGATTCTGATTTCAACAATGAAAACGAAGATGAAAGTAATGCAAATTTAGAACAAAAAGTTATTTTGTTAAAAGAAAATATTGCAAATATAGTTGAAACAATCTTGGAAAATCCTGAAGAAAACATATCAACTTTATCAAAACTAATCAAACTAGCATTATCAAAAAACCCAATAACTTCTAACTATTCTTTATTATCTTTAGTTCATATTTTTAAAAATATTATACCTGGTTATAAAATAAGACCTTTGACTGATATCGAAAAAAAAGAAAAAAAAATTTCAAAAGAGGTTAAACTGTTAAGAAATTTCGAGCAAAATTTAGTCAAATATTATAAAATCTACTTGGATATACTATCTTCATTAGCAAGTAATAGAGTTTCAAATCAAAATAATAATAATAATAATAATAATAATAATAATAATATCAATAATATTGATGACAATGATAGTAAAGATTCAAGTTCAAATAAAAATAAAAATAACGACAATAATACTTTTAATTTCAACAAAAAGATTACTAAAAAACTCAAGAATCAATCTAGTGAAACAATAAAAATTAATAAAAGATTATCTATCATAATAGCCTGTGATCTAGCACCCTCAGTTCATCACTTTAATTTTCGAAATGAACTAATTCAAATAATAATCAACTATTTACGATCGTCTCAAAATATTTCGAATTTAAATAATGATGATTTAAATGCTTTCAACAAGGCTTTTGAGACATTGTCAAATTTATTTAAACTTGATTCAATTAATGGGGATTTGTCTTTTGATATTTTAAGAATGTATATAAAATCCTTTAAAATATCTAACAATTCGAATTCCAAAACTTTTAGACTAAGAAATCCAACATTATTAAATATTTTATTGAACATATCAATTTTATCAGATTATGATCCAGATTCATTATACGATGATGAAAATAATTCGAATAAAAACAAAAGTTCAAAAAATAAGAAGAATAGAAAGCATCTATCGAAAAAGGAAAAGAAAGCTCGTAAAGAAACCAAAGAAATTGAAGAGGAATTTAGAATTGCTCAACAACAAATAACTGAGAAAGAAAGAGATAGGTTTCAGGCTGAAATATTAAAAATGCTATTGATTTTTTACTTGAATTTATTGAAATTTCAGATTGAAGGTAATTTTAAAAATTTAAATCTAGAACTAATAACAGTTGTTTTAAAAGGTTTAGCTCAATATGGGCATATGGCAAACATCGATCTACTAGGTGATTTCTTACAGATTTTAAAAGAAATTGTTCATGAGTTGGTTTTAAAAACCCAGGAAGAACAAGACGAATCTAAAAACATTGAAGATAATGGAAAATTTAATTTACTTACAAACGAAGATTGTTATGTAATTTTATTGTCTATTGTAACATCTTTTCAATTGGTTTCAAATCAAGCCCTGCTAAAAATCAAAATCGATTTATCCTTTTTTATTGAGTGTTTATATTCAATTTTACCAGTTCTATCAATAAATTCTAATACTTTAAATTCTTCAAAAACTATAAACTTATTGATAAAATCTTTAGATAATATTTTTTTTAGCTCCAAGTCATCCGGCAATAGATTAAGAGCTTTAGCATTTACAAAAAGACTTTATGTGGTGCTATTGAATTCTTCTGAAAAATCTTCTTTGGTTTTGCTACGATTTATTGAAAAATTGATGAATAAATATAGTGAAATTGAAAGTTTGTATTTATCTGAGGATCAAGATACTGTTGCTAATGGAATATATCAAATCAATGTTAATGATATAAATAGATGTAATGCTGACTGTGCATTAATTTGGGAAATGGCTCTATTAGTAAATCATTATTGTCCTGAAACCAAGAAAATGTCTTTATCTTTGTATAATAAAGCAATCAAAGGAAACGTTAAAAAATAATAAAAAATGTAATTCTTTCAATAAGATTAATAGACAAAACTTCATTTCCTAGCCTGTAGACTATTAGAAATAAGTATTAGAAATATAATAGCACAATAATTTTGAGTAATATAAAGCCATTCAATTAACAAAATAATTCAAGACTATTTGTCAGCTCCATTTCCGTGAAAAGTACGCGAAAGATGTTTATAAGCTTGCTTAGTTGTTAACAGTTTTCCATTATCATCAAAATATTTCAACTCGACAACTGGATTGTAATCTTTCAAACTTTTTTCAATTAGCTTTTGATTATTATAGAAGATTTCTTTATTTTTCTGAGACAAAATTTGCTCCTTTTGTTTCAAAGACAATTTATTAAAATTTTTATTACTCTTTAGTTCTTGCTTGATTTTTCTTGATTTAATTTCATCATTCAATTTCAATAACTTTAGATTATTTTTTAAAGCCATTTGTTTTTTGTAATTTGTATTAATAGAATTATCATCATTTTCGCTCAAAGAATATAAGTTGGAACTTTGATTCGAATTTGATTTGTTATCGAGAAATTTGATTGTATCAGCTAAACTCAAACTGAAATTTGGCTCACCATCAAATTGACTATTACTTTCATTATCATTGTTGATAGTATTAGTGAAATGATTTTCATTTATTTTTCGCAATTTTTGTTTCATTAATTTTTCATTTTTATTTTTATCAAGTTTCTGAAACTTACGCTTGGAATTTCTAACAATAGGTGTTTTATATTCATCCTCCTCATTTTTTAAATCTTTAGTATCTAGAGCAATTTTAGAGGATTTCATTGAAGATAAAAAATCAGAGGTTTCATCAATTACTAAGCCATGTGAATTGCTGCTACTAATAAAAATATTATTATTATTATGATCATAATCATTATCGTTACTGTTTTTTGACTTTGACAATTTTGCATTTAAAAGATTTTTCTTTTTTCTTTGTAAAGATAATAACTGCTGTAATTCTCCATCGTCAACAATACCATCATCATCATTTATTAGATCAATGTGAACAAAATTTTTATTTTTAACGCCTGTGTGATCAGATTCATTATTACCCATCAATGATAATGTCATAGATTTACTTTTTTTATTTTTCTTTATCTTTTTCTTATTTTTTTTAAAAGTCACTGATCTGCTATTTTTACTTTTTAGATAATCTAAAGACTGAATATCATTGGGTCTTTCGTCTTTATCAAATTGTAAATCTATTTCATCATAATACAATTTTTTATTTTTCATATTATTAGTATTATTAATCTGATCAAGTTGTTTTTGATATTGTTGAAATTGCTCATTGATATATTCTTCATCCTCATAATTATTAATCTTTTTCTCTTTGGAATCTTCATGTAAATTAGTAGTATATTCATTATCATTATTATTTACCAATTCGTCATTTTTATGATTAAATTTATCATCATCAGACTCAGAATCAGATAAAAAATTTTCTTTGTCTTTCAAAGTTAGAATAATATCATCATCAACAGAAATTTTACCTATTAATTGCTCGGATATCTTAATATCATCTTGAGCATCCTGTTTTTGAACATTGTCATTATCATTAGTCTCATGTATAATGTTTTCATCTCTATTGTTAGTATTTTCATTAGAAGTTGGTGAATTACTACTATTTTTGGAAACTAATAAAGAACTTAACCATGAATCTGTATCATCAACGCTATCTAGCTTTGATGATTCTTTGGATTTACTTTTATCTTTATTTAACGATCCTTGGTCATTGATTTGAACTTTTCTTTCAGACTTGCTAGTTTTGTTAAATTTGGACTTTTTCACACTGATAGGATCGTTTGGTAGGCTTTTGGTAGGTTTTACTGCAACAGTTGGAATAGGCTTCAAACCAAGTCCAATACGAATTCTGTTGGTCTCTTCTAACGATATCTCTTCAACCATTACCACAATCTTCTGCTTTTGCTTCTTAACCCCAAAGCACCAAAAGTATCAAAATCGGTTTTAAACCAAAACCAGAAAAACAAAAGACCCGCAAAAATGGATTTTCATCAACACGTGCTCAATTATTTTTTTTTTGGCAGAAAATTTCAGTGAAACTTTTCAGCAGAGGAAGCAAAAACATCAAAGATGAATTCTATAAACGACAGCTCCTTTGTTCAGATAATATCCAGTGATCCTACAGCCTTGTTTATCGAGGAAAACAGCTTGGGAATCAAGCAAAATGTTGTTAAAGAAAATCAAATATTGCAGTTGACCAAGTTGATGTTGGATCCCATTTCTGCTAAAAATTCATGCTTGGATCAACTATATATAAATGATTTGGATTCCACTCAAGTTTGGGGACAATCCAAGATTATTGTGGATGGGGTTATTGAAAGTTTGATTTTTGATAAAATACCATTTTTAAAGAAAAAATTAGGCATTAACAGTGAAATATTGAAAAACCAGGATGTTTCGAATCAAAATATCCACCTTCAAACCGATAACAAGGTCCATAATGGTAGTAGTAGTCATAGTGACAGTGAAAGTGACAGTGACAGTAATATTCAAAATTTTAACGACATAAATAAAGAAAAAAGTTTACTTTCAGATGAATCAGATATCGAGGAAAATAAAGATGATGTTGAATTAGAAGTGGTGGAAAACCTTTCTAATGAGAATCAAATCGAAAATGAAGATGAAGATGAGGAAGATAGCCAATATGAAAGTGATGATTCTTCAAAGCAGTCTACCAATAAATTTGCGGAATTAAATGATGAATTTTTTGATATTGACGATTTCACTCAACAGGTTTTAGCTTTAGAAGATGAAGATGGTAATAACTATATTAAAGATTTGACAAAAAAAGCAAACTCACACAAAGATGAAGAAGAAATCGATTATTTTGCTGATATAGGTGATTCAGAAGAGGAGAGTGATGACGAAGAAATTCTTTATTATGATGACTTTTTTGGTAACAGAAAAAATAATAAGTATAGTTACAAAAACAAAAAGTCCAAGAAGAATAATCGAAAAGACGACAACTTTGAAATAAATAAAAAACTCAATGGCAATGATCATTCTAATAAAAAAGTAAGATTTGATAATGATGACGATGAATTAATGAAGATTACTAAATTGGATTTGTTTGAGGACAATAATAATAATGCTGGAAACGATATTCAAGAAGAAAACCTTTCGACTTTTGAAAAGCAACAAAAATTGATTCAGGCTCAAATTGAACAATTAGAAGAGGAAGCTTTAGAGAAAAAAAAATGGACACTTGGAGGTGAATCTTCAGTTAAGAATAGACCAGCAGACTCTTTACTAGAAGAAGAATTAGAATTTGAAAGGACTTCCAAACCTGTTCCAATAATCACTCAAGAAGTTACTGAATCAATCGAAGATATGATTCGTCGTCGTATCAAGGAAGCCAATTTTGATGATATACCCAAAAGATTGCCTATGAAAAATTCACAAAATCTAATAAAAAACAGAAATCAAATGGATGTTAGCGAATATAAATCATCAAAATCCTTAGCTGAAATATATGAAGAGGAATATGGGCTTAAAAAAAATGATGATGAGAGTTCGAATACTAATATAACTAAAGAATTGGAAAAATCTCATAAAGAAATCGAATCAATGTATCAATTATTATCACATAAATTAGACGCTTTATGTTCTGCTCACTTCATTCCAAAACCTGCTCAAAAGGAAATTGATATTAAAGTCAATACTTCAACGATAACAATGGAAGATGCTCAACCGTTATCAATGTCGAATGAAACTACACTAGCACCACAAGAAATCTATAAGCCTACTGTTGGTATAGATAGTAAAGAAGTTAAACTCAAGAGTGGGTTGATCATCTCCAAAAATGAATTATCGAGAGATGATAAAAACAGGCTACGTAGAGCAAATAAAAGGAAGAGATCTAAGATGCTCAAGAGCAAAGTTGAAAATAAGAAGTTTAAGAAAAATGATAAAAATGATGTTATTCAGACACTTAAAAAGGCTAATGTTACTGTGATTGGTAAGAAGGGCGAGAAAACAGATGTGTATGGTAAGGAGAAAAAAGAAAATGGACCTTTGACAAGCAATAACCTTAGACTATGATTTACAGAGAGATAATAGGTTCGTAGTACATTATAATACACTTTTTTATTTCTATAGGAACATTGAATAATATAAAGCAATTCAGCAATCTGTGTCATCGCTAGAATCAGCAGAATTTTCATTTGTCTTGGGGTCATATTCCTGATTGTCTCTTTGAGTATCAGTTTGATTTCCAGGAGTGTTATCAATAAGTGCATAGTTATTATCGACATCAGCATTATCATTTGCTTCATGATTATTGTCTTCTTCCTGTCTTTTCCCATTTTGAGAGTCTTCATCAATATCAATATAACCCTCATCATTAAAATTATCGTTATTATCATTGTAATCGCTTGAAATATCAATACCTTGAACACTCGATAATTCTTCTGATAGTTTTGACCTTCTTTTTTTTCGATTAGAAATTTTGGCTGGCTTTTTATCATCATCATTTGCGAATTGAGCAATTTTTGATTTTGATACTTTTTTGGGTTGTTTTTTACGCAGTTTATTAATTGGTTTGGCTATTTTTTTTTCTTTTAAAGCTTGTTTCTTGTTTTTCTTTTTTTGTGGAGAAGGAGTTTTGAAAGTTGGTTCGATTGGTGTATTTAAATCCAAGTTGGAGTTATTGAAATCGTAATTGAAATCGGTTTTGGGTTTTAAATTTATTAATTTGCTAATTGAATTATTTTTAATATCATTTATATCATCTTTATGGCTGTTTATATTTTCAAGATAATATTTTTTTTTGGAGTTTAGTAATAATATCAAGGCAGATTCTAATTCGAGTTGTTTCTGTTTAAAGATATTAAGACTTTTATTTAGCTGTTTGTTAAGTTGGGCTATTTCTTCATTCAAAATCAAATTTTCAAATTTCAAATCATCTTTTTGAGACTTGTTTCGCTCATATGTTTTGAATAAATTCTCAAAATGGTCAGTGAGATTATACTGTTCATCATCATTGTCTTCATCCTGCTCGGGGATCGAGAATGAGCATAAAATTTTAGATATTGAAAAAGTATTGATTTTAACCTTGTATCTCACCTGTAGTAGCAATAGATTCTCTGAATCTAATTTTTTTTGATAAACGGCATATAAATGGTAGTTGTTTAATTTAAACATTTTTAAGAAATTGTAGTAATCAAAATCTGACAATTTTGTTTGCAAAAATATAAAATGGAACAAGTTGCGCAATTCAAATACAGATAGGTTCTTATTATTGGTGTTTGTGATATTTTCAGTGTAAATTTTCATTAATAACTCTTCGTTCAAATTAAATTTGTAGTTATAGTCACAAAACAAATTTATGTTTAAGTTAAGCACATTATTTTCAATTGAATCAGATGAGTTTTTTGAGACAGTAATATAGAGTTGATCTCTAGGCAAATCGTCACTTTCGTTTATCTCCTGCTCCGTAAAGCCCTCAAGTTCCAAGGGAGCAACAATGATGTTTTCCATACTTCAAGCAAAAGACAGCAGAGTAATTGAAGACCAAACAGTAAATACACCAACAGGTTTCCAGTTAGTTTTTTTTGTTAAGCTCTTTCTGTTAGGGTCATGTTGAGACTCCAAAGCACTGCTGCATCGCGGGACGAATATTTGTTTTGGCATGTGGAGACCACACTAACGGGAGCTCTTTCTAATACGGACCACGCATGGTGTACCTCCACACAAGCACCACCAAAACTTTGACCGGGACGCCAAAGTGGTTCATCTGCAGATGGGTGTTCTTGAGGTGGGAAATATATTGACCTAACAAATCCATGATATATAAAGGTGTAGGTGCGAAAAAACAAGCGAGAGAAACCTTCAGCCCCTTTTTGGGGGTTTGGATTAGATCGGAGGCGTTATAAAGATAAACCGACACCATGTGTTAGTTGATGTTGAGCAACCTAATTACGAGATCCGACTTATAACAGTTGCAACATAATACAGTTAAAAATATGCATTTAGTTCAAATAGGTGTGTTTTTTTCAGAATCTTTGGTTTGAAGTGACGAGCCGGAGAGCGTCAAACGGAACAACAACCGAATCCGTTCAGCCCGGAAAGCTATTCCGTTTGGCTTCAAGCACCAATGTTTTAAGCACAACGATTTTTTATAGAATAGATCTATAAATGTTATCTTAAATTGTTAAGTGAAATGTTTGATTTTTTTAATAAAGAAGCAAGAGATGTCCAAAAATGTGATCTTAGTTAATTTATCGAAATTTTCAATTTGAGAACCAGATCATTAGGAATGAATGCGTATCAAAGTAAATGGCTATTTTACAATTTAGAGAAAACTAATATGGAAAGTCACTGTGTTGATTAAGATTATTGGTTGCATTATAGATGGGGAAATAACTTCGGTGATGGGCATTTGATGCGATACAAAATGAGATGCGACCTGACTTCAGAATTTGACAAATCTTTACAGTGTAGCGATTTGTGAAGATAGTTTGATGGAAATTTATTAGACTATTCAGTATGTAGCCATTTATAATAGCAGTGCAATTGCCTAATGTATTTTGTGATTAGGAAATATATGAATATATATATTTGATTAGGTATGCAATATATATATTCTGATGATCAAGATCAAATTCGAATCGTTAAAATTCATCGAAGCATTCAACGATTGTTTTCAAAGATGCGATGATGTTATTTGCTAGTACTCGAAGAACTCTGTCAGATATGGCGTATAAATCTATATGTAGATAATGACAGTTGCTAATGTAAGAAATCAGATAAGATACTTTCGCGTCATCAGGTCTTAAGATTGGATCCACAGATAACGTTTTTAAAGCTATGGAAGCTTGATTTTGCAATTGAAAGGGGATATTAAGAGTTCTTGCAAAGGAGATGAGAATGAGTGGAATACGAATAGGAATGGAGTATTAGTAAAAGAGCAAAAAGCAGAAGAAGAGAGATCAAACAAAAACACATACAAAGAGGAGGTGAAAGACATTTTATAGGCCCAGAAAGAAGAATATACAAGAACAAGCAGGAAAAAGAGAGTAAGCTTTTTGTTAAACACCCAAAATGGAGCAGCGTATAAATAGGAGATCTGAAGAAAGAAAAAAAAATGTATGGAGTAAACAGAAGCTAGCTGAGAAAGATGTAACTGGAGCTGGAGATGAGATGAGGATGAGATGAATTCAATCTCAAGATCAATTTTGAGGTTGGTTTTGAGGTTAGTTTTGAGGCTACAATTATTGACTTTATCAGGTTAGAGCCAGCAATCAAAGACGAAGAAAACATCGACTACAACTTACAAAAAGACACCTCTCACCCTAATATTTCTCTATTCTTGCTGCTACCAAATCCTCAAAACATCGCTCCACCAAAAGTGGTTACTGATTTAAATGACACTGAATTCTCTTCCACAGAACTAGAAGCACCAATCAATGCTTTGGATCCAACTGTCAATCAAAATACATCATCCTCGGCGGTAAGCTTCCAAACTTCATTGTCTTCAACATATAGATATAACAAAATTATTGATAAACTATATGAAGTACTTCCATGTCCCCAATCAACCCAAATTGAGATTGAACCATTACTTAACAATTTAATTCACGTACTTAAATATAATTTAAAACATCAGATCTTTAGAAGTAATAATAGAACATGGGACGAGTGGCTAAGATATCATCACGAAGATATCATCACGAAGATATAGATGGGGAGGGAGGTTTATTAGATTTTTTTAATGATTTGTTTTTTAATCCTAATTTGCAATTAAACATTTATACAATTTCAATTCTAGATAATTTATCAACTCAAATTCTTTATCTAATCATTTCGACTTCCTTTTTTAAGCTTTTGGAAACCGTTTTTAAAATGGAGACTACACCCTTAGGTGCAACATTTTTTTGATTTATCTCGCTTGTTTGATTTAATTAAAACAATTTACTTTCAAAAAAATCCCTTTTTAACTGTTCATAATGTCTTGCCCAGATTTTGGAAGCCTGGAAATGTCGCATCCTCGATTTTAAGAGGTGAAGAAGACATCATTGAAACTGCTCTAAGAAAATCAAATATTGCAACTTTTATCTGTTGCACTTTGGGAATGATGGATACAGTTTCACTAAGTGATTTGGATGAAAACTTATTGAACGTATTCTGCCCTGCTTCTAATGCAGTGACTCTAGATACAAAACTATCCAATCCCTTGTCAAACCAATCACAAGATGATATCATTGCCACTGCAAATACGACTGGTGTCGGTGGTTCTAGGAAATCACTAAAATCTCAAATCTCAATGTGTTTTTTTTCTAGAGTTGAAAACACAGGGTTTTATTGCTGCCTTATCAGAAGTTGAGAAATCAATAATGGAAATCGCTGAGGATATCTTTTCCGGTCACATTGACCATCTTTAAATTAAGAAGAGGTTCCCTTTCAATTCATTAACAGTACAGACTTGAGTACTTAATTGATAATCCAAATGAATAATCTCATTTTAAGAAAAAAGAAAAGTATGAAAATTCCATTTTCAAACAACTTTTGATTAGAACTCAAATATTCTGCATAGCCAAAAAAAAACTTTTACCATTCGACTCTACAATTTAAAATCACAAATTCATTTATTGATTTATATATCATTACAACTTAGAATAACAAAATTATTATAAACTTCTAGATAATAAACTATTTTGTTTCGAATTGTTTCATATCGAGTATGATTTCTTCTTTTTTTAACTTGGCTATTTCAAATATTGGGTAAAGCTCATTTTCGCCTTCCATTGAATACAATTCGTTGATACGAATTTGAGGTTCTTCTTTGGCTTTCAATTCAAACCAAAGCCCCAATGGGTAAACAGAAACTGGAATACTTGTGACAAAATTTTCAAACTTCTTTTCAAACATTTGGAAATCCGATTTTACCTGGGCTAAACGATCCCTAATCTGAATACCTATAAAGGTGAATGATTTAGATTCCAGAAGAAATACTGGCAAAACTAAATCCAATGTTTTTTCAT